AAATATAAATTAGGAAATCCAAACCAAATTCTACTTGAAGAATTTCTTGGAAGAAAAACACAGACCTCTACTAATGGTCAGAGAATGCTTTTATAATTAGAATCTTGAGTCATGATCTGTCTTATTTGTTTAAATAGAACTAAAAACATCCGTGCTGGCCTTGTGGTACAGCAGTTAAGCCTCTGCTTGTTACACTGGCATCCCATATTGCAGCACCCGTACAAGTCCTAGCTGTGCCACTTCTGATCCAACTTCTTGCTAATGTACCTGGGAAGTCAGCAGATGATGCCCAAGCACTTGGGTCTCTGCCAGCCACATGGGAGACCCAAATGGAGTTTCTGGCTCCTGGTTTTGGTCTGGCCCAGCTATGGCTGTTGCAGGCATTTGGGGTGTGAACCAGTGAGTGAAAGATCTTTCTCTGTTTCTTACTCTGTTACTCTGCTTTTAAATATATCTTTAAAAATAATGGAACAAAAACATTGGCACAGTCACATTAGTCAGTTCACATTAGATCAAATAAGTAGCTGATACATGAAAACTCAGTTTTAAAACATCCTCAGTCTGTTTTTGCAAGTAATCACAACAGCCTTGGCTTACGTTCAAAACATGAGCCATTGGGATAATTAGGATCCCCTTACCTCTGACCCACACCCTGTTCTGTCTTCCTGAAATACCATCCTTACCTCACCTCCTAACTGATCCTCTCCTGGGCCAGAGCCAGAAACGAGGTCCCTAGCACCAAGGTAACAGATCTAAACTATGCTATAAGATGACCTTGTGGGGCTGGCGCTATGGGTTAAAGCCCTGGCCTGAAGCACTGGCATCCCATATGGGCGCCAGTTCTAATCCCAGCTGCTTCTCTTCTGATCCAGCTCTCTGCTATGGCCTGGGAAAGCAGTGGAAGATGGCCCAAGTCCTTGGGCCCCTGCACCTGCGTGGGAGACCCAGAAAAAGTTCCTGGTTCCTGGCTTTGGATTGGCGTAGCTCTGGCTGTTGCAGCCATCTGGGAGTGAACCAGCAGATGAAAACCTCTTTCTCTGTCTCTACTTGTCTCTGTAACTCTGTCTTTCAAATAAATAAAATAAATCTTAAAAAAAAAAAAAGATGGCCGGCGCCGCGGCTCACTAGGCTAATCCTCTGCCTTGCGGCGCTGGCACACCAGGTTCTAGTCCCGGTAGGGGCGCCGGATTCTGTCCCGGTTGCCCCTCTTCCAGGCCAGCTCTCTGCTGTGGCCAGGGAGTGCAGTGGAGGATGGCCCAAGTGCTTGGGCCCTGCACCCCATGGGAGACCAGGAAAAGCACCTGGCTCCTGGCTCCTGCCATCAGATCAGCGTGGTGCACTGGCCACAGCGCGCCGGCCGCGGCGGCCATTGGAGGGTGAACCAACGGCAAGGAAAACCTTTCTCTCTGTCTCTCTCTCTCTCACTGTCCACTCTGCCTGTCAAAAAAAAAAAAAAAAGAAAGAAAAAAAAAAAAAGAAAAAAAAAGATGATCCATGTTTGGGGGTGGCACTGGGCTAGCCTTGATTCAGGTTCTTACCTGCATGCAAGAAAGAATTCAAGGAAGAGGTGGAGGTCAGCAGAGAAGCAAGATCACAGGCAACGAGAGAGAGAGAGAGAGAGAGAGAGAGAGAGAGAGAGCGCGATCAAGCCGCACTTAACAGTTTGCTGCTGCCCTCCTATACCGTCAGGAGGCATAGGGGGTGGAGTTCGGGGCAGGGCTCACTTGGATATTCCAAGGGGGCAGAGTCTGAGGCAGGGCTTGAGTGCCACCTACTTTCATGGCCTTTTTTGGAAACCTCAGAAGTGTCAAGGGTCAGGGGCATGATGGGCGTGGCTATGTCAGCCCTGGTAGTTTTGTTATCATGCCATTATTATAACGATCAGAAAGTCACCGCAGGAAGCCAGCCTGCAGCCACATTGGATATTTCCAGCTGGTTCTTAGGGGGAAAGCCCAGGCATCCTGCACAGTCGCTGGTGGGGTTGGGTGGTACTGGGATGGTGGCAGTGGCTGCCGGGCACATGCTATGATCCTCGGTTCCTCTTAGTCAGCCACCTCCCTGCCCACGGCACTCACACCTACACCAACAGACCCATGGCCAGGGTCAGGGCCAAGGCCAGGGCCAGGAGCCGGATGGCTACAGACACATGTGTTGTAAACCTAATTCCACACGGGCGAAGGTGTAGAGTGCTTGGAGAGTGTGACAGGGTGGTGTGATTACCATGAGAGGGCCTGGGAGGCCTCCCTGAATTCTGACAGATGAGTAGTCATGACTCAGATGGGGGTGGACACCTTCCAAAGCTGAGAAACCTCTGCTACAAAGCCCGTGGAGGGCTGGAAAGCATTGAGTGTGTTTGGGGAACAGCAAGGAAGTCAGAGGGGCCTGAGAGTGAGAGTGCGGAAGAGGGTCCAACAGGAATTTTATTCTACACACAGTGGGAAACTGTAGGGTTTTAAGCAGAGACATGATCATATTTGCCTTAATGAATCATACAAATCCATTAATTTAGCAAGACATTCTGCCTGATGCTAAGCTAAAGGCACAATGGTGACCAAGATCACCACTTCCTGTGGAGGAGGGGTACGAAGAACCAGCTGGGACTCCTAGCAGGAGTCCAAGCAAGTGAGGATGGAAGGGGATGGATTGAAAAGATATTCTGAGGGGTGGGTACTTGGCTCAGTAGTTATCACTCGGGACACCCACATCCTGTGCCTGGGTTTGTGCCATAATTCTGCTTCCTATTCCAGCTCCTGCTAATGGACCCTCTGGGAGATGGCAGGTGATGGCCCCAGTACCTCGGTCCTCGCCACCCATGTGAGAGACCTGGATTGAGTTCTAGGCTCCTTGTTTTGGCCTGGCCCAGCCCTAGCTGCTGTGAACATTTGGGGAATGAACCAGCAGATGGGTGATCTCTTTCTCTGCCTTTCAAGGAAATAAGGCAAAAGTTTATTAAACCTATTTTGAGAGGACGCTAATAGAACTTGGTGAACCAGGTGTGGAGTGGGGGTACACAGGGCCCCACAAACACAGCAGCTGGCCTTCTCTGTTGGCATCTTTCCTCATCTGCCCACTCTCTGACTGCTGCTTTCTACTTCATACCTTCCTTAGGAGTCAAAGGGACTCTACCCCGAGAGGCTGCAAATACAAACAGGACCAGGGATGGGTTACAATTTGAAGATACTTCAAAATTAATGGAAAGATAGAATTAAAAAGTAGGTTTATTTTGGTACAAAAAATTTTTGAGGGGCAGAGATGCTGTGGCACGGTGGTTTATGCTGCTGCTTGCAATGTGCCCATTTCATACCAGAGTGCTGGCGCAAGTCCTCCCACCGCTTCTGGGTCAGCGCCCTGCTGTGGTGCACCCTGGGAAGCAGCAGGTGGTAGCACCCACTTGGGAGACCTGGATAGAGTTTCTGGTTCCTGGCTTTGACCTGACCCACTCCTAGCTGTTGCAGACATTTAGGGAACAAACCAACAGATGGAAGATCTGTCTCTTTCAAATAAATATATTTTAAAAATGCAAAACAAGTAATAAACGCACGCTCCAAGACCCAGAAAGTTATGTGTCAACCCCTACTGAAGTAATTTCCTCTGGGGCTGGTGTTGTAGTAGCTTAAGCTTCTGCCTTTGACACCAGCATCCCATATGGGTGCTGGTTGGAGACCTGGCTGCTCCACTTCTGATCCAGTTCCCTGCTAATGAGCCTGGGAAAGTAGCAGAAGATGACCCAAGTGCTTGGGGCCCTGCCTCCCAAGTAGGAGACCTGGAAGAAACTTTGGGCTCCTAGCTTTGACCTGGCCCATCCCCTTGTGGCCATTTGGGGGAGTGAACCAGTAGATAGAAGATTCTCTTTCTCTCTTCCTCTCTAGGTCTGCCTTTCAAAATAAAAAAATAAACCTAAAAAAAGAAAAATTTCCTCTTTCCACATTTCACATTTAATATAGTATTATTTTTCAGACTCATGTAAAAAAAAAACTTTAAGATCCCTTGCTATTGCCTAAATGTGTTCAAGTTTCTACTTTTTTGGGGGCGGGGGGGCCAGGCTGAAGCCAGGAGCCTGGAGCTTCTTCCGGTCTCCCACGTGGGTGTGGAGGTCCAACCACTTGAACCATCCTTCACTGCTTTCTCAGCCCATTAGAAGGGAGCTGGATTGGAAGTGGAGCAGCCAGGACTTGAACCAGCACCCATATGGGATGCCGGCACTGCAGGTTTTATCTGCTACACCTTAGTGCAGGCCCCTGTATTTCATTTTGAAATGTGATTGAATGAGTTTCAATTTTAAAAGTTCTCCCAGTGTGGTATGTTTTAAGTGAGAATCAAATATATATTGCAGTCAATTAATTGTTGACTGTGCAAATATATATTGCAGTCAACTGATTTTGTGCAAAGAATTTGAAAACAAGATAAACTATCACAATGACATTCCAGTCTCTTTCAGAGGCCACTCCTTGACACTTGCTATTTACAAAAGAAAGGCAAGGGAGAATTTTTGCTAAAGGACAGTCCTCCATTCCAAAGCAAAAGGTTTTCTTTCAATTCGTTAAGAATTTAGACACAAGTTTGGAAACTCAAGGTGTAGATGTCACTTTTTTTTTTTAATTATTTACTTGAAAGTCATAGTTAGAGAGAGGTCTTCCATTTGCTGGTTCATTCCCCAAATGGCTGTAATAGCCAGGGCTGGGCCAGGCCGAAGCCAGGAGCCAGGATCTTTATCTGGCTCTCCCATGTGGGTGCAGGGGCCCAAGTAATTGGGCCATCTTCTGCTGCTTTTCCCAGGTGCATCAGCAGGGAGCTGGATCAGAAGCACAGCAGCCGGGATTTGAACTGACACCTACATGGGATGCCGGTGCTACAGGTGGCAGCCTTACTGGCTACATCACAGCGCTGGCCCCAGATGTACCTTACTACTTATCAAGATAGAACAAATCTGCTGTACACTTAAAATATTCTCAGTGTTTGAAAAGACGGCTAGAGATTCATTCAGCTGACACTTTCACCCACGTGGTACATTTTGATTATGCGGTAAGTCAGGAGTTGTGAAATCCCAATACGCATTATGAAACTGGTAGTTACGGGGGTGGGCACTGTGGTGCAGAGGGTTAAGCCGCTGCTTGGGACATCCACATCCATTACCACAGTACAGGATTCAAGTCCTGGCCACTCAGCAATTAAGATCCACTTCCTGTTGATGCACCTGGGAAGCAGGGGATAATGGCCCAAGTTTCCTGCCAGTCACGCAGGAGACTTAAGGATTGAGTTCCTGCCACATGGTCTAGCCTAGGCTGCTGTAGGCATTTAGGGAGTGAGCCAATAGATGATGAAAGAACTCTTTCTGTATCTCTTCCCCCTCTGCCTCTCTGCCTTTCAAATCCATACATGGTAGTTACTGTATTTCTGTAGGAGAAAGAGCATAATTTTTACTTACTGTTGTAAAAAGTTTGATTTAAATTTCAGGCATAGCCCCTCCTTGTTAGCTAGAAAAGTTCTATTACACTAAGCAGATCATAGATGAGAAATGCAACTTAGTTTCAAAAGTTGGGCACTGGCATTGTGGTGTAACCGGTTAAGCTAACATCTGCAATGTTGGCATGTCCTGGCTGCTCCACTTTCAAACCAGCTCTCTGCTAATGCGCCTGGGAAAGCAATAGAAGATGACCCAAGTCCATGGGCCCCTGCCCGCACATAGGAGACCTGGATGAAGCTCCTGGCTTCAGCCTGGCCCAGTCCTGGCCATTTGGGGGATGAACCAGCGGGATGAAAGCTCTCTCTTTCTCCATCTCTGTAACTTTTCCTTTCAAAAACGGGATCAGGCAGCTCTGTGGCCCAGTTCTGGCTCTGCCACTCACTGTATGACCTGGGGCAATGCACTTCATCTCTTTGGGCCTTGATGTTCTCAGCTGTAAAACAGCCACAAATGATACTACGTACCTCATAGGAATGTCATGATTAAGTGTTCAAATGGGTAGCAGGTGTGTCCCAGAAACTCCCGCCCCTCCACCCTCCCTCCCCCCACCATGCTGGGTATTACAGCTTATTGTGGTTCCCTCCCTCCAAATTAGCATGTTGCTATCCTGACCCCCAGTGCCTGAGAATGGGTCTATATTTGGGGATAGTGCCTTTAAAGAGGTAATTTAGGCAAAATGAGGTCATTTGGGTAGGCCCTAAGCCAACACGACCAGATTCCTTAGAGGCTGGGACATACACATGTACATGGTTAATACAAGAGGACACAGTGAGGTGGCATCTACAGGCCAAGGAGTAAGGGTACAGAAGAACTAACCCTGCTGACACCTTGACCCTGGACTTCCAACCTCCAGGACTGGTCAAGAAAATAGATTTTGGGGGCTGACACTGTGGCGTAGCAGGTAAAGCCGCAGCCTGCAGTGCTGGCAGCCCATGTGGATGCTGGTTTGAGTCCTGGCTGCTCCACTTCCGGTCCAGCTCTCTGTATGGCCTGGGAGAGTGGTAGAGGATAGCCCAAGTCCTTGGGCCCCTGCACCTGCTTGGGAGACCAGGAGGAAGCTCCTGGCTCTTGGCTTCGGATTGGTTCAGCTCTGGCCATTGTGGTCAACTGGGGAGTGAACCAGCGGATAGAAGACCTCTCTCTCTCTCTCTGCCTCTCCTTCTCTCTGTGTAACTCTTTCAAGTAAATAAATAAATATTTTAAAAAAATAGATTTTGTAGCTTAGGCTACCCAGTCTGTGCTGTTACAGCAGCCATAGCAAACTGCTCCCTAAGTCCCGGCCACAGGTCTGCAGCCGTCTAACCACCCTGGCTTGTGGGGTGCCACGGCAGGGAAAAGGTGTGAGCACAACCTAGGTAGGACACACACCTGCTCCTCAGCCCCCCTTGGAGAAGACTCCATGCGTAACTGTTAGGCACTAATGAGAATCCCCTGGTCCTCGGCACCATGCACAGTAGCTACAACACAAGAACGAGCTGTAGGAAACAAAGTGGAGGCAGAAACCCCGGGCAGGCGTGGGAAGAACTTACTTGGAAGCTCCCAGTTCCAGTCATACCAAGGCTAGCCGGGGCAAACTGGAGTCATCTTCAAAACAAGCTGTGTCTCAGAAGCCGAAAGCTTAACCTACACTATTGCCCCTCTGGTGTCTCTGTACTTAAGCTGACTTCCAAAATGGTACGCGTTTAGCACAATGTGAATTGTGAAATGCTCCACTGGCTGTGAGACGAGAAGCCTGTTCATGCACGTGGCACATTTCCTTTACCTACAGGCTCCACTGAGCTTTTAAAAGAGGAACTTCATTCAAAGGGGCAGAATGTGTATTTGGGACACAGAGGCTAGATTGACAAAGCTATCAATTTCTTTTCCCCTTTGACAGCTGGTCAAATAACCCACTTACGGCTGGGACTGGATCTCAAGCTGCCCAGTGCAGGAGCCAGCAGCCACTATGTGGCTCCTGAACACTTCCAACATGGGTTGTGCAATTGGGCAACCGGATTTGAATTCTGATAAAAATTAAAAGCTGATAACTTGTTTCAGTCCTTGAAAAAAAAAATTAAGTATGTCTGCAGCTACCTGATACCTGGATTTGCCACTGTAAATTGTATGACATCTAAATATAAGTCAGGTACTAGTCAATGAACATTAATGTTCAATTGAGAAGGGGCAGGAAGCATAAAATACACCCCAGATTTTGAAGACCTCAGATGTAAAAGAGGATACAAAGTATCTCATTGGGGCGGGCATTTAGCCTAGCAGTTAGGAACCCAGCATTCATATCAGAGTATCTGGTTCTGCTCCTGACTCCAGCTTCCTGTTCCTACAGGTCCCGCTGGGCAGGCAGTGGTAATGGCTCAAGTGCCCACTGGGAAACCCAGACTGAGTTCCTAGCTCTCAGCTTTGGCCCAGCAGGGCGGCTCAGGGCAGGCAGGTGTCTGGCACAGCGGTTAAGGGAATGTTTGCCTCCTATTATCAAGAGTGTCTGGTTTGAGTACCGGCTCCACTTCCAATTCCAGTTTTCCGCTAACTAAAGTGCACCCTGGGAGGCAGCAGCTCAGGTCCTCGGGTCCCTGCCACCCCTGTGGGAGACCTGGGTTGAGTTCCTGGTCCCTGGCTTCAGCCTGGTCCAGTCCTGGCTGTTGTGGGCATTTTGGGAGTGAACCAGCGGGTTGGAACTGTGTCTCTGTGCCTTTCTAATATAAACCTCATGAATACATGTTTTTTGGTTTTCTTTATTTGAAAGGCAAAGGGCCAGGGTTGGGTCAGGCCAAAGCCAGGGGTTGGGGACTCAGGCCATCTCACTTGTGGGTGGCAGGGTCCCAAGTGCCTGAGCCATGTTCTGCTCCCTCCTAGGGGAAGCACTGGCAGGAAGCTGGAACTGGAAATGGAGCTGAGACTCAAATCCAGGCATTCTCATTTGGGAAACACACGTCCCAAGCAGCAGGCTGTGGCTTGGGATCACAATGCCCACCCCAAGATAATTTAAAAACTGACGTGCCCATTTTGTGGGATTTAACCTAACCTGCAATGCAAATAAGTAATAAATTTCCATCTCCAGAAAGTTACCAGGCACCACACACGGATCAACATTTTTGGAGGTCAATTTGACTTCTGTAGGGTATGTTTATCACTTAAATTACACTGGATAAAATATTCATTTCAGGATAATTAAGGCATTTGTCTTTCTCATGAAAATCAAGGATTATTTCTGCCAGAAATTCAGAATTTACTTGGGGTGAACGCCATGATTCAATTTCATACTTTAATTAGACCTTTTAATTAAAAGTTAATAGTTTGCTTTTTAAGAAATAAATAGACCCATGCTTTTTCAGAAAAGTTGAATTTACAGTTAAAAAAATCTTATATTTTTGGCTTTGATATATGAATTTTTGAGCTATAAATAAGCCTCTGGGTTGTAATCCGTCTAATGGGCCCCCTGTACTGCACACACAAAGATCAGACATCAAGAGATAGCTAATATGTCTCAGGGGACTGGACATTATTAAGAAGGCAAATTCTCCAAAGCTCGTGAGCCGTCACAGTCAGTCCTGACCTGGAGTAGCAATCGTGTTGCCTAAGAGAACAGGGAAGGCGAACCAGCCACTCAACTCAAGTCAACCTGTGAATGACTTTCTTGGTTCTAAAACACTGAAACCGTAACTGGAAAGATCAGCAAGACCATGGCCTATGGCTGTGAACATTTTATAGAGAGCCCCCAGAGAAGGACCCGGTCTTTACACTTGATCTCAGCCAAAAGGCCAAGAAGCGACGGGACCTGGTCTTTAAGAGACGCAGTAGCTGAAAATGAGATGCCTTCATCAGCAATGAAATGCTGTCCTACAGACAGGACCTCTCTCTCTCTCTCTCTCTCTCTCACCCCCAAGCCTTGCTGCTGTCCCGTCTCTGTGAGGATCTGTAAGTCAGCCCTTCAGAGAACCTGCCTGCCAGTTCTTACAGTCTGCTCAGAGCCAGCTTGCGGGAAGCAGCCTGAGTGCTCCCGGGTCAGCTCTGCTCCTGGCCCAGCGGCGTGGGTGGGGGCACGTGGTGCGTGGGAGGCGGTGGATCTGGCTCCTGTGTCAGCTGCAGGTGCTGAGCCGCATCGGAAGCACTTGCTGCTAAACGCAGCTCCTCTGTTTGCTCCTGATGGGCGTGAAGGTGTTCCAGGGTTTCCTTGGACAGTGTGATGACGTGCACCGGCTCCGTCTGCGAGGGCGCCATCTGGCTTTCAATCATGTTGAGGCCCTGGATGTGTCCTGTCTGCTCCGGCTGGGCTGAAAGAATCAGATTCTGCAGCTGCTCCGGCTGCTGTGTGAGCAGGGTCAGGTTGGCGGCCTGGTCTGCGGTCATGTTCTGGGAAGTCTCTGCAGTGACGATGCTGATTCCTTGGTTGGGCCCTGGCATGAAATTGATGTTGTGCACGGAATCGGTTACGAGCAGCTGGATCTCCTGCTCCCCCGAGGTAGAGAGTTGATACGGCTGGAGCTGAAGGATATTCCGGACCTCTTCTGCGTTGCCGCTGCTGGGAGCGCTGCCGGCATCGGACGCCTGTTTCTCTTTGCTGTGGATTTTCAAGTGGGCCTTCAGGTTGTCCAAGCGCGCAAACTGCAAGTTACACTCAGGGCAGGAGAAGGGCTTCTTGCCGGTGTGGAGAATGCAGTGTCGCCTCTTGGCGCTGGAGTCAGAGAAGGATTTGCCACAGATGCCGCAGGAGTAGGGCTTCTCTCCTCTATGGGAAAAGACACGCTATATTTTAAAAGCCGGAAGACCTGTTCGCGGCTTCCTGATTATTCAGGGAGACGCAATCAAGGCTAAGAGGAAAAGGAACTAGACCGTGAGTCACCAGTCACAGGTTCTCCTACTAACCTAAGGATGTGGGGCAGGTCACCAGAACGCCAAGGCTTCAGTTTCTAATCTTAAAAGGGTGGGGCCGGTGCTCGAGGCAGGGCGGCAGGTGGGGCTGGGCCAGATGCGATGAGCAGCTTATGATTTCACCACATGCACTTCAGATCAGAAAGTAAACATACACGACACTGAGTGTGCAAAGCCAACTCTGAGGCTCGAATGCCACGTACGTATATGCGATTAATATCAATATTTCAAAATTTGAGCAGTGCTTGATTATTTAGGATGTAGGTGGAAGAACTCCTAAATCCAACCTGGCAGTAACTCTGGTGAACAAGAACACCTGGCAAATGTCGAATTTGATAGTTATTTTTGATTGAAGACTTAAGCTTGGGACAGGCCCTACCACCCTCCCCTCCGCCGTCAAAATCCAAAATGTGAAATTAATAATGGGAACTTTTACTGGCCAGACTCAGTATCGCTAATTTTGCCTGGGTCCGAAGCTTCATGACTGAAAAGATAAAACACGGCAATAAACTACTGGGGAAATTCTACCACAGCACACGTCTGGGGAAGGGACCCTGCGGGTGCCCATGTCTCCCCCCACCCCCGTGCCAGCGTGGTGTGGGGCCTTGGCGAGGGAACGCCTGCACGTTACCGGTGGATTCGGATGTGCGTCTGCAGAGAACTCTTGGCTGTGAAAGATTTGCCACAGATCTCACAAGTAAATGGCTTCTCACCTAGGCAAAAAAAAAAAAAAAGGGAAAGGGATCAGAAACATCCACACAGCATAAAAGCAAAATCCAGAAACTCCCCCTGCCACTTCACAAGGTAAAAAACCATGGCCATGCCCTCCTTGGCTAAGTACCTGCCCTGCACCTGCGCACTGCGTATGAAGCGCAAGGTAAAAATGTGCAAACTGAGACAAGGGGGTTGGTTTGATGGGAACAGGCACACGGTGTGTCTACTCCTGTGTCTGCTACTCTTCGCCCTTGGGCCGCCCGCACTGCTGGTGAGCTGGCCCGCTGGACCCTTAGGAGGGTGCCTGTGCACCAGGGGACTTGCTTCTCCCTCACATTCCTACCTGCCTTCCAAACACGTTCAGATTCCTCCTCTCACTTCCTCCATTGCCACCCACAACCCTCGCCTAGCCAGGGTGGTCTCCTGCCCTTGGTCTTGCTCCGGGGCCACCCACTATCCACACGGCAAGCACAGTGAGCCTGGCAGCGGGGTCCAACCATGCTGCTTCTGCTGCAAACGCTCTGGTGGCTGGGGCTGCCTGCAGCCCTATCAGAGTATCTGGGACTGCGGCCCACCTATACTGCTTTGGACCCAGCTTTCTGCTACTGGGCCTGGGAGGCGGCAGGTGCTTGGGTCCCTGTCACCCATATGTGAGACACAGGTGGAGTTCCTGGCTCCTAGCTTCTGCCTGGCTCAGCCTTGGCTGTTGTAGGCATTTGGGGAATGAACAAGTAGATGGAAGATATGTGTGTGTGTCTCTCTGTTGCTCTGCCTTTAAAATTAATAAACACATTAGAAAAAAAAAAAAAAAGAAGAAGAAGGAAAGCCAAAGGCCTTTGGTTTTCAGAGATTCCTTGGCAGGGACCCTAGCCCAGCACTCCTCACACCAGGCCTCCCTGACCTCATCCCAGGGTGCTCCCAGAGCGGCTCACTTGCCTCGTCTCCTCCAGCTGCCTGCTCACCTCCTCCCAGGAGCCCCACAAGCCCTCCTTAGCTCGCTTCCTGCTTTCCATGTCCACCATGCTACGGGCAGCATGTCATCGGCTGTCCCCCCTTCTTCTGGAAGATCATCTACTCCTAGCACCTGGCCTGGTGTGCCGTTCCAGAACCCCCTGCAGAATGAACAGATTTTGCAGGGTGTGGCTGCTCCGTACCGCACTATGCTTCATTCATGCCAACTGGTGCTTATTCAGGGTTAGCCTGCACATGGCAGTGTGCATGTGGAGTGACGGACTGTTAGTGCCCTCCAGAACCGAAACTAAGAGATCCTAAAGACAGACCAGAAGCAAGTAGCAAAATCCCCGCTAACTAGAGGCGAGAAGAGGCACTGTGCCTGGGACATGGCGGCTGGTTGGGCTCTGCAGCTTCCCGCAGCTGGAGGACCCCTGCGATACCGACACTGCCTCCGTACATCTTTGACTTTTTCGACTGCAAAGGTTAAGGCGGAGGCCATTGCCAGTACCTGTCTCTGAGGCTCTCTCCCTCAGAGCGGGGGCTACTCTACCTTCAATTCAGAGTCCTCTGGGGGAAACTCACATGACAACACCAATTTTGCAGCTGGTGATATGGCATAGCGGGTAAAGCCACCGCCTGCAGTGCTGGCATCCCACATGGGTGCTGGTTTGAGTCCTGGCTGCTCCACTTCCCATCCAGCTCTCTGCTATGGCCTGGGAAGGCAGTAGAAGATGGCCCAAGTCCTTGGGCCCCTGCACCCACATGGGAAACCCAGAGGAAGCTCCTGGCTCCTGGCTTCAGATCGGTGCAGCTCCAGTTGTTGCTGCCAATTAGGGAGTGAATCAGCGGATGGAAGACCTCTCTCACTCTCTCTCTGCCTCTTCTCTCTCTGTGTAACTCTGATTTTCAAATAAATAAATCTTTTTTAAAAAACACACACACACTAATTTGGCCAGGCAGAAGCCCGGAACCAGGAACTCCAGCCTGGTCCCCATCATAGACGGCAGGGGCTTTCCCAGGTGCCTTAGTAGGAAGTGGAGTAGCCAGGACTCGAACTGGTGCTCCAATACCGGATGCCAGCCTCGCAAGCAGTGGCCGCCCCTTGAAGGTTTTCTCAGGACACGTCTCCATTCTCCCCGGGAGAGCGTGCTGCAGCCGCAGCTCTTGCAGGAGTGAGCAGGGCAGGAAGAAGACACATCCTCCTGGCCAGGGTGACTCTGGGGCAGGTCTTCCGAGACGCTGGTTTCTGATTGGTTCTGGGAACAAGACGGCTCCACTGCCTGGTGGCCCACTCTTCCCGAAGCTGGCTCAGTCCCAAGACACAGAGAGGCCACAAAACACAGAGCCACAAAATAGACAAGGCGCAGGGGACAGGATCATGGCCTCCAAAAGAAGGTGGGGCCGCAGCACTGAGACAGTGCCTGCAGTAGTGAGCAACATAGCGGGTGCCGAGGGAACAAGCAGGGCGTGGCAACAACAACCAGGGGGTGTAGACAGGACCGGGCTGGGGGCGGGGTAGGAGCAGGATCAGGCAGGTCGGACAGAAGCCTCGACCAGGGCCCAGGATAAGCGGTGCGGCTGAAAAGCCGGAGCTGGGGACGGCCACATGGTATGGACCAGGAGTGCGGAGGAGTCACGGTGAAGGGATGGATGAGCCGTGAGGTGAGGCCACGCTGGGGGCAGCCGGGAACTGTGGGCAGACATGGGGAGGCCCTGGAGGGTGTTGGGAAAGTACGCCTGGGAGTGACAGCGACGGCAGTCCACGCCCACGTGCTGGGGCCTGGACCAGGAGGCAGGGAGGCAGATGCACAGGCTGGAAGGTGAATGGCAGAGCCTGAGTAGCAATGGGAGCAGAAGAAAGTTTTCTTTTCTTTTCTTTTTCTTTCTTTCTTTCTTTTTCTTTTTTTTTTTTTTTTTTAGGATTTATTTACTTACTTGACAGGTACAAGCTCCTGGCTCCAGAAGGAAGTTTTACAAGAGGTTTACACAATGGCGACTAAAGCACAGGGCAGAAGTCAGGGTGTGGCCGGCAGGGCTCCACCCAGGGATGTCCACAGAAGGGCTGGGGCAACTCCCGGCTGCTTCTGACACAGCCTCGCCCGCCCCACCCCTGCTCCAGGACCTCACGGCTGGGCCGCCCCTCCGCCCTCCACTCAAACCTAAAATAACTGGGCAATGGCAGTGCCCGCCGGCCCCTGCGCCAGCCGGGCACGACACAGTGGCGCCTCCAGTTCTCTCCATGTTCACGTTTAACCTGCTACTTTCTCCCTCCCAAGTGTCCTGCTTCCTGTTTACACGACAACTTTGCTTTTCTTTACAAATCATCCGTGTTCAGTGTAAAACAATCAAAAGACGGAAAAGTACAAAGAAAGTTCCACTTTCTCTCTTGAGGTGAGCAGTTAACATTTCACAAGCGTGCAAGAATAGTTGTATGCACACCACGTCAGCCAGTGTCAGTTAAAGCCACACACCATAAAAAGGCCGAGTCATGTCCCGCTGGACACACTGCCCAAAATTTACCTATGGGGCAAGAGTTATGTGCAGCAGGTTAAGCCACGACTGGAGGTGCTGGCATCTCGTATCACAGTGCCTCGGATCTAGTCCCACTTCTGCTTCTGTTTCTGATCCACCCTCCTCTAATGCACCTGGGAAGGCAGTGGATGATGGCCCAAGCACTTGGGTCTCTGCCACCTAAGTGGGAGTCCCAGATGGAGTGCCGGGCTCTTAGCTCTGGCATGGCCCAGGCCCAGCTCCTGCAGGCATTTGGGGAGTGAACAAGCACATGAAAGATCTCTCTCTCTCTCTCTCTCTCTCACCCTGGCAAATAAATAAGTGAATGTCTAAAAAAATTTTTTTTAACTTAACTTGTCTCTTACCAAAGAACACTTAGGTCGTTTTGAAGCTTCTGACATTACAAACAATCCTGCCTACGATGCATATCATTCTGCAACAATCTGATAAACATCGCCAAAGTTTCTTTCCAGGAAGTTCCCAATTATATTCCCGCACCAGCACAGAGAGAGGCCCACTTCCGCACAGGCTCTCCAACCTGAAAGGCGAGAAAGCACACGTTCCTTCCTCCTCGATGACTAGCAGGGTTCCTGTGGATTCTTTCCTGTCTCTCCACCCTTCCTACACGGTCTTCTGTGCCGAGCCCTTCCTGTCCAGCGCTTTCCTTGTGGGGTACTTGCTATTCCTTATTCGGGATATTAACACTTTGCCATTTATGCTCCGGTGAGAATACATTCATGCATACTTTGGGCTCTGTTCATGGCTCCTGGCTCGTAACTTCCTCTCCAACTCAGGCCACAGAAAGGAGAATTTCTTTTCCCCAAGGCAGGTCATTCTCTGACCAACCCTGTTTGACAGTGGATGCTGAGACCCCGGTTCAGTAGGGGTCCTGTCCCATACTGAGAGGAAGGAAGCTCACTGACAGGCTGGAAGGTCTACTAGCTTCTGGACAGCTGACCAAGTGGAGGCTCCTGGAAGGGGGGCAGCGCCCAGAGAGAGCATGGCAGCTCTGCACCCCTGCACCTCAGGCCACACGTCTCCTCATCTAACATCCTCTAGAACAAACTGGTGAACCCAAGAAAGGTGTTTCCCTGAGTTCTACAAGCTGCTCGAGCAAATGAACAGAACCCGAGGAGGGGGACACGGGAACCCCAGTTTCTAGCAAGTCAGTCCGAAGCACGGGGTATGAGTGCAAGAGCCCACTGCTATCTACCACCACCCAAGGGGCAGAGACGCCGGAGGGGAGGGTCTGCACTGCGGGGTCAGAGGTCACTCACCAGGCTTCTCTGTGGCCTGGGCTAAGTCCCTCGATTCGCCCCAGCTCACCAAGCCATCTTCTGCTCACTAGCCTGGTTTTCGGGTACATTGCTATCAGGAAGGAAGTACTGCAGGCAACAGAAAGGGGTGAGCCCTTCGTTAAGTGAACGCCTCTGCTGCTTTATCAGCATTCCGAACGCTTGGCATGGCCCGGTGCCTGCAAGCCTGAGCAGCTCCAGGCTCAGGGACAAGATCTGCGCCCCAGAGCCTGAGCCGTGGTGACCTCACTTGCACTGTCCCGCCTGCCTGATGCTTTGCCTGCACTTCCGGCACTGGGGACCCAATGACCCAGAAGAGTCTGCAGGTGCAGAGCCCCAAGGGGAGTGCCAGCCTCGGTTCTGCAGCTGAGCACGGCCTTGCTGGCGCAGCTGGTGCTGCCAGTGCTGGCCTCTCAGTGCCCACAGCAGGGCTGTGGCGGTGCCTTCCCACACCGACACTGAGTAGGCTCTGCGCGAGGGGTGGGGACACATGGCCTCGCGTCCCTTCCTGCGCACTGCCTGCCCAGATTTCGGCTTGGCTTGCTTTCTCCTCTTCTCCATTATGGCAATGACTTCACCCGGCCCTTTTTTTTCTTTTCTTTCTTTTTTCTTTTCTTTTCTTTTCTTTTTTTTTTTTTTTTTGATAGGCAGAGTGGACAGTGAGAGAGAGAGACAGAGAGAAAGGTCTTCCTTTGCCGTTGGTTCACCCTCCAATGGCCGCCGTGGCCGGCGCGCTGTGGCCGGCGCACCACACTGATCCAATAGCAGGAGCCAGGTACTTATCCTGGTCTCCCATGGGGTGCAGGGCCCAAGCACTTGGGCCATCCTCCACTGCACTCCCTGGCCACAGCAGAGAGCTGGCCTGGAAGAGGGGCAACCGGGACAGAATCCGGCGCCCTGACCACCCGGCCCTTTTTTACCCAAGCACACACAGTCAGCCTGGGGAGGAAAGAGCCATTCTCTCCCCTGTCACTCCCACTGCAGGACCCATGTTGCTCCTAAGGACCAGAGCGGGACGGAGCCAAGGCAGGCGAGCGTCTCCTCTCAGGCATCCCAGCTCTGCTCCATCCCGATCCCGTGGCCAGGGCTCCACCACAGCCTCACGTGCAGGCCCGTGGGTCTGTGTGGAAGCTGCCAGCTCTGCCTACATGCTCCCCCTGAACTCCAGACTCTGTGTCCTACTGCCTGCTCCACGCTCGCACCTGGATGTGAAAGGGATGCAGCCGAGACCCCGCAAGCCGAAACTCACCGTGACTTGCTCCTCTCAGTCTTGCCCAGTCTGTCCTCCTCCTGGTTGCCTTAGCCACCACACATCCAGTTAGGAGCAAACCATGTGAACTCTTCCTCAGAATCTACTGGCTCACTTGCCACCACTTACACAGCTATGCCGCCCTCACTACCAGGCCAGGCCCACCCACACAGTGGCTGCAGTGACCCCAGGCCAAGTTCTAGGTTACGTCACGTCATGCCATCCCTGTGGCTACACCCGCCTCACCAGGAGGCAAGCCCATCCTCACCATGCCCTCTAAGTGCTCAAGTCTGAACACACAGTACAAGCACTGAGGGGCACTTTTAGAAGTGCCAGTTCCGGGGCTGGCTTTGTGGCACTGTGGGTTAAGCCAATGCCTAAAATGCCAGCTTCCCATATGAGTGCTGGTTAAAGTCCTGGCTGCTCCACTTCAGATCTGTTTCTGCTAATGGCCTGGGAAAGCAGTGGAAGATGGACGAGTATTTGGACCCCTGCCACCCATGTGGGAGACCCAGATGAAACTCTAGGCTCTTGGCTTCGGCCTGGCTCAGCCCTGGTTACTGTGGCCATTGAGAGTGAACCAGCAGATGGAAGGTCTCTCTCTGTTACTCTGCCTTTCAACTAAATACATAAATCATTTTTTAAAATGATTTTTTTAAAAAAAGACTTATGTATTTAGTTGAAAGGCAGAGTTACAGAGAGGCAGATGCAAAGAGAGAGAGAGAGAGAGGTCTCCCATCCACTCGTTCACTCTCCAGATGGCCGTAACAGCCAGAGCTGTGCTGATCTGAAGCCAGGAGCCAGGAGCTTCTTCCAGACCCCCCAAGCAGGTGCAGGGGCCCAAGGACTTGGGCCATCTTCCACTGCTTTCCCAGGCCACAGCAGAGAGTTGGATTGGAAGTAGAGCAGCCAGGTCTCAAACCGGCACCTATCTGGGATGCTGGCACTGCAGGCGGCTTTACCTGCTATGCCATAGCACTGACCTCTAAATACATTAAATCTTTAAAAACAAAACAAACAAATAATTCCAAGGCTCTATACCAAAAGAATTCAGTCAGAGCCTCCGGGTGGGACTGGGATGTTTTCATAAACCCACTCAGATTGACAGCTTCCGGACTACTGGGATGCTTGGTCCCTGTTGTCCACCCACTCCCGGGTCCTTGCCCTGCCTCGGCCATCCTGCCTCTCGGCACCTCTCGATGCCCGTAATGGCTGGCTTGCTCCTCTCCGCATCCTGAGTGTTTTCAGCTCCTGCCAGGAGCCACTTCGTCTGCGAAGCCCTCCCAGATCAGACCCCTGTAAGAAGGCTGTGCCCTTCCCACGTCCTGGCCTGAGCCTGTGCTTTATTTCTTGGCAGGTGCCACCACCTAGCACGCACGTGCTTGCCTGCTCTGCCATTCTGATCGCACGCTGGCTTCTCCCCAGCGGGGCTCTGCCCCTCCCACTCGCCGCGGTGCCCTCTGGGCCTGAGAGAGGGCCAGGTCCTTAGACACTGCTCTGGAAACAGGGCTAAGTGGCTGTGCCCCATTCCACAGGCCCTGTTAACCACAGTGTCTGCGGAAAGACTGTGGAGGGACCTTCGTCACGGAATGCACCCCCGGGAGACGCTCTACTGCCTGGAGGAGGAAACAGCTGCACGGGTTGAGTGACCCTCACCCAAAATGCTGGAGACCGGAAGTGTTTCAGATTCTGGAATGCTCCTAACCACACGATGGGGTATCTTGGGGACGTGCTCCCCGTCTAAAGATGACATTCATTTGTTTCATGCTCACCATACACACAGAGCTTTACACCATATTTTTAGCGCACCTGTATTTGACTTCAGCCCATAAGATGAGGCATGGCATTTTCTACCGGGTACCATGTGAGTGCCCAGAAAGCTGCAAATTTCATAGCATTTCAGCTTTTGGATGAGGGACGCTCAACCCATACACGTAAAAACAATCTTTGAAGTACCATAAACTCACGTGAGACGTAATTTGAATTGACAACTGAACATAATCATTAAATAGCCAACCTACAATGGGAGATTTCTCCTAGAAAATCTAACAGGCCTATTTTCAAACCACGCTACTTACCAGAAGATTCTAACAGGCCCCCACGTTCACGTCTCTGCTCGTCAATGAAAAGAAAACAAAAACTCTGAGCTGCCCTAAGCAACCTGCCCTCTCTTCACCCCCGCGGCTCAAGCGCCAGGCTGAAGCTGGAGGTGCTGGTTCTGGGGAGAGAGGAGACAATGTCCCTCGTGTCCAGGCTCTCCTGCCCGTGTGCCGGTTTTTCTTCTTTCCTAAAAAGAAGTCGCTGGAGAGGGACGTGCAGGGCCCCAGCAGCCTGCGGCATGAAGTAGGTTTTCCCATATAAACAGTGCTCGGTCAAGGATCTCGCTTTGCTAAGCTACAAAGAGAGGTGACTTCTGCCCCACAGAACAATGCTGCCAGCTGCTGCCCTGTGCTTTCAAAGGTGCTCCTTATCAAACTCCCACCCGCTTCACAAGGAACACTCCGAGACACGGGCGGGCCTGGTGCAGGCGGGGAGTGCTCCCCACTCCCCTGAGGACGTCAGTGTGCTGGGGAGGAGGGCGGCCAGGGCGGGGGTCCTACCTGTGTGGGTTCGCAGGTGTTTCTTTAGCTGAGACACATCCATGAATTTGCGGTGGCAGTGGTTGCATTCCGGCAATGAGTGGCCTTGGCATGACAATAAAAAAAAAAAAAAGTGTCAGCACACCTGCGCGCTCCCTGTATTCCTCCAGCGATTTGTGCTAGAGCACTTCCCTGAGAGAATCCCTGGGAATATGGCACTTTGACCGCGAGAGCTTTGTTCATTCACAGGGTGGCAGTAACCATTCTCCTATGCATCTTAGCGCTCGGCTTTCCCAACAGAGCCGGGGCCCTTCTAATCCTGCCAAATGTCATCTTCTCTCCTTGAAGCACTGCTCCGAGTGTGGCCAAGGGTCTCTGTGCGTGGCATCGCAACAGTGGCATAAGAATTAAATACAGATGACACAGCAGAGTAACACGAAAACCTCTCATTTAGATTGCCTTTTTAAGACCCTTCCCATGGGGCCGGTGCTGTGGTGTAGCGCCTAAAGCCGCTGCCTGCTGTGCCGGCATCCCTATGGGCGCCGGTTCAAGTCCTGGCTGCTCCACTTCTGATCCAGCTCTCTGCTATGGCTTGGGAAAGCAGCAGAAGATGGCCCAAGTGCTTGGGCCCTGCATCTGTGTGGGAGACCCAGAAGAAGCTCCTGGCTCCTGGTTCTGGATTGGCCCAGCTCCGGCTGTTGCGGTCAATTGGGGAGTGAACCAGTGGATGGAAGATCCCTCTCTGTCTCTCTCTCTGCCTCTCCTTCTCTCTCTGTGTAACTTTGACTTTCAAATAAATATATAAATCTTTAAAAAAAAAAAAAAAAGACCCACCCCTAAACACTGCCCTGTCTCCTGCAATCCGCACCCAGGGTTTTAGAAACAAACTGTACCTGCGCTCCCTCCCCACCGACCCCAGGCTTCCCCCAGGCCTCGGTACCTGTGTGAACTCGGTAATGGCTCTTTAGCTGTCGCTTCTGGCTGAAGTATTTTCCACACTGATCACAGGTGAAAGACTTCTGTCCTGCCGGGTGAAAAACAGAACACTCAAACACACACCCCCGACCATTAAGGAGCTAGAACGCTAACAACGGTGAACACCCCACGGGCCCAGACCCGCGTGATTTGTCTGTGGGGCCTGAAGCCCCGAGTCCCCCACAGAAGCATATGTGTGCAGAGGTTTGTAAGGCAGCGGGAGGGGCTGGGCACCGGGATAGAACTGGAGAATTGACCCTCCCTGCCCCCACCCAAGCCAATGGCATTCAGAGTAAAACAGCTCTAAACTCTGGCGCTTAAATCAAGTGTGTTTGCACACCGAACTCCAGGCAGGCAGCTCGTAAGCTCTCGCTCAAGGCTTAGTGCTGTGCCAAACTCCCAATCACCTTCTGACAGGTGCACGGCCCTGTCATCCGATGACATCACGTGGGAAACGGCACCAGGCCGGGAAAGCATCGCTGAGATCCCGGTCACGCGTCTCTACCGGGACGTCCCACCCTGGGAACGGGCACGTGCTGGCGGCGGGCCCTGAGGCGCGAGCCCGGCTACCTGAGTGCAGGCTCATGTGCTCCAGCAGCGAGTGCTTGGTGGTCAGAGCCTTGCTGCACACGGTGCAGGTGTACGGCCGCTCGCCCGTGTGCATCCTCGTGTGCACCTGCAGCGAGTGCTTCTGCGCAAAGCCTTTTCCACACTCGTTACACTTGAAAGGTCGCTCACCTGGAACGAGAGCCATGGAAGCCTGGGATGAGCCAAGATCCACACAGCCTTCTGCTCCCTCCCAAAGTGAAAGGACAATCAAGGCATTTGTCTAAAAAGACACTCATTGCAAGGGCCAGAGAAGAGGATGGGATCAGCAATAAAGCTTGGGGAGCTGGAGCGGACGAAGCCGGATCCTGCAGTGAGAGCTACTGAGATGTGGCCTGGGATCTTTGCCAACAGGGGTGAGGGAGGCTGCACGCCTGCTGGAAGCGGAGGGAGACCCCCGGGCCCCGGCTCCCACCACACGTGCCCAGGACACAGGCCCCTCTCTCCCCAGCTGATGGTGACTGCTCCCTGAAGATGCGAAGTTAGGGGTCTCTGGGTTAGGGGCCGCCACACGCAGCCAAGCGGGACTCCGTCAGAGAGAGGACGTTCACGGGTGGTGTAAGGAGACCTCCTCTCCTGCTCACACCCGCAACCAAGCTTCCCCCGGGCTGGAAGGTAAAAGGCCTGAGCTAAGAGAACCCAAGGTGCAGAGAGCTAGGCACCAGCAAGGCAGGGGTGTCCAGCCACGACCCTCTCAGTCCCCGCCCCCTCCCAGCCTCTCTTCATGCACACCTGCAGAGTTGCCAGTAGCTTTCTTCATAACCCCCTCTGACATTTGATGAAGCAGGCTATTTTACAAAATCCCCAAGCATTCAAGGAAGGCCCTTAGCAGCGGAGACAGATACGGGGGCAAAGAAAATCAAGGAGTGAAGCGGCTTCCAGAAAAGATTGCCCAGGGAAAAGAAAGCATTAGACACCAGCAACAAACAAAGTCACTGTCATATGTAACAATCTCGCAACAGATATTACACCCTGAGCCTAACAAACAGGACGCTAAGAGAAAAACATTTTGAACATTTTGAGAACAGAAAGAGCTGCTAGAAGTATAAAAAGAGTAGAAACAAAAAACCTGCAGGGGCTGAAAGGGCAAAAGAAGCCTCATGGAAAAGGCAGAGGAGGGGTCCAGAAGGTGCCGCGTCCACACAGAGCTCTGGAGGGAGGAGAGGCGAGGGGGTCACTAAGAGATGACTGAAGATAACGTTAGGAGCTGGACCCGCCACTTGCAGTGCTAGCATCCTTATGGGCGCCGGTTCAAGTCCCAGCTGCTCCACTTCCCATCCAGCTGTCTGCTATGGCTTGGGAAAGCAGTAGAAGATGGCCCAAGTGCTTGGGCCCCTGCACCCATGTGGGAGACCTGGAAGCAGCTTCTGGCTCCTGGCTTTGGCCTGGCACAGCCCCGGCTGTTGTGGCCACCTGGGGAGTGAACGAGCAGGTAGATGATTTCTCTCTCTCTGTGTGTCTCTTCCTCTCTAATTCTGCCTTTCAAACAAATAAATTACATCTTAAAAAAAAAAAAAAAAAAAAAGAAACAGCAGCAGGTCCCCAACGAGCAGGATGACAGCCACCGCACAGGGTGCTGCAGGGTCCTGGAAGACTTAAGCACCAGCTCTGATCTGAAGCTTACAACTAGGCTGAGGGATATGTAAGTGCTGCCCACGGCCTAGCCCAAAGCCAAGTGAGTCGAGCATCTTAGAGACGCCAAGGGGAGGACTTTCCAGTCGGCACCACGTGGATCTAAACGGCAGCCACCCGCCACACGTGGAGGCTGACACTCAACCGACACCAAACGGACACATCCAGTTTCTCAGTCACCTGCAATTTAAATGCTCAAAATCCACGACAGGCTAGCGGCCCTCACCCTGAACAGCACAGACAGCACAGACAGCACGTCTGGGCTCAAGGGAGCAAAAGGGAGTGAGTTTAGCCTTCCCGGCCAGCTGGCCCAACAAGAAAGCCACCCACATGGACCCAGGAGAAGATGAGCAAAGCTTGAGAATCAGAAAACAGAGCCCAGCAGGGACTCGAACCCAGAACTCCACCTGAGAGGGCTTCTGCCTTCAGGGCCCTGGGGTCCAAACCCTGGCTGTCACCTGGGCACACGGCCCCGGGCATGTTACTCCAGAGCTGGGGGCCTCAGATCCCTCCCCGCCGCAGTGGGCAGGATCTTATTACAAGGCCCGCGCACGGAGGCTGCACAGGGCACGGAAGCTGTCACGGTGCCGGCTGCAGCAGGCCGCGAGCGCGCGATTACCCGTGTGACTCCGCTGGTGGATCGCTAAGAAGTGATTGTACTTGAAGACTTTGCCGCAGTCTTTGCATCGGGCCTCGGGGCCGCGGGCGCGCTTTTTCCTCCCGCAGATCCTCTTGGCAGCGCCCTGGTCCTCATCGTCCCCCCCCACGAGTTTGTAATCTTTCAGCTTCACGGATCTGCGAATCCTGCGCTTGCTGTAGCGACTCTGGCTGTCCTGCCCCTCCTGGCTCTTGGGATCACAGTTCTCATCCTTCCTGGCTGGTGTTTCCTCCACGCTGCCCGGCTCACAGGCAGGTGCCGACCCTTCCTTTCCTTTCGCTGGAGCCTGCTCGCCCAGGACACCACCGGGGGCTCCCTCTGTGACCACAGAGTTTTGTCCATCCTGAGCCGGGCTGTGCAGTCTCAGCTGTATCTCCTCGTCTGCAGCCGAGGCTGCCGTCCCCTCGGGCACGCTGTTGACTTTTCTTGGTCTTCCCCGCTTCCGTTTTGGAGGCTCATTCTTCTTGTTAGAAATAACCACCACTGGGGCACCGGCAGTGGCCAGAGGCGTGGGCTTCGGGGACCTGGGGTCGTTCTGGAAGTCCGTGTAAGCCTTGACCAGGTCGGAGACTTTTAAGAACTGCGCAGTCGCCAGGATCTGTTCCGTGCTCTTCTCGCTGGCGTGCAGACAGCCGGTGTAGATGAACTCCAGCAGGATGCCGAAGGTGTCCGCCACCATGCCTTCCAGCATGTAAATGGACTGGCCGATCTCCCCTTCTTCTGCAAACATCATGGAGAAATACTCGCTGCTGGCGGCCAGCAAGGCCTTGTGGGCTCGGAAGTGCACGTTCTCCACGATCAAGGTGATGTCACAGAGGAAGCCCTTCTTCCTCTGATCCTCGAAACTGGCCAGGACAGTGTCGCTGTGCGTGTCCGAGTGGACCACCAGCTGCCGGGGAGGCGCTGGGGCTGCGGCGGCCATGTTCTTTGGAGGCCACGAAGGTTTCGATCTGAAAAGAGAAAACAATGTCCCTGGAGTAGGAGGCCTTGGTAAGGGGGAGACTCCCAGCTCACATGAACCCACTGTTCTCTGGATTTTACTGTTACTTTTTTTTTTTTTTAATATTTATTTTATCTGAAAGGCACAGAGAGGCAGAGAAGTCTTCCATTCACTGGTTCACTACCCAAACGCTGCAACAGCCAGGAGCTTCTTCCAGATCCCCCCACGCAGGTGCAGGGGCCCAAGGACTTGGGCCATCTTCCACTGCTTTGCCAGGCCATAGCAGAGAGCTGATCAGAAGTGGAGCAGCTGGGGCTTGAACCGGCGCCCATATGGGATGCCAGCCCTGCAGGCGGCGGCTTACCCGCTACGCCACCTTAGAAGCACTTCACTCTGAGCTCACACCCCGGCTGCATCTGGCTCGAGGGGCTGCCCATGCCCACGGACCCCTTCAGGGTCTGTTTTCTCCTCTGCAAACTAAACGAAAGGGCTGGATATCCGAAGCCTTTCACAGCACTAACTTTTCTATGGTTACACAAATCCTGCAATGGGGACCTCAATGCCTCACTCCCAAGCAAGACCAGTCGCGTCGTCTGGGGGTGGGAGGTGGGGTCACACACGAGAAAGGCGGGGAAAACGGACGTGTGCAAGCTGCAATAAGATAAGAATCAAGGAAGCCGCACGGGGCCTCGCATTAAAGGGAGACGTGCAAGGGCCCGGCTGGCGCCAGACCGCGCAAGGAGCGGGACCCCTGGAGCTCCAATCCCCCGGGGCCCGCTGAGCGGGAAGCCGCAGAGCGGTGAGGTCCTCGGCATCCGTATCTCGGCCGCGCGGGCCCGCCAGGGAGCGGACGGCTCGGGAGAGGGCGACGCGGCCGCGGGTCTGCAGCCCACGGATGGCGAGCGCGCGGCGGACCTACCTCTCCCGGCCGCCCGGCGGGGCCCGGGTCGCAGATCGTCCACCGGGCGGGCGCCCCTGCGCTGGGCTCCCCTTGCCCCTCCGCCGGCCCAGCCCGCCGCGGGGGCTCCCGCGCTGCTCCGGCCTCAGCTCCGGCCCCCGAGCCGGTGCCGCCGCAGCCGCAGCCAACCCGGAAGCGCGGCGCCGGGACCACAGCCAGTGCGCGGACGCAGCACCACGTGGCCCGCCAGGCGCCTCCACCCGCGCGGCGGGGCGGGGCAGGGGGCGGGGCAGAGGCGGGGCCTGGCAGGAGGGCCCGCCCCGGAGAGCCCAGACAGGTGTGGATTGGGGCTGGGATTGGGAATGGCGTTGTCACCGTGCTTGGGAAGTTACTATATTATACCGTTAGCTCCGCACATGCCTGAATCCTGTCTTTCCGGACGCCAAATCCGAATGTGTGGTGAGCGGATGAAATCACTTTACCCCCGTCATCATCATCATCATCACCACCACATCTGCCTCCGTTTCCTTCGCACCTCCAATGCCTCTGTCCAAGGGACCGAGGAGAGCGTTCTAGGCTCTGAGACATCCTGGCCAAGTTACGTATCTTCAGGACTTTGTTGACCTTACCTGGAAAATGAGGATGCCAATGGTGCCAACTTTGGAGCATTGCTGTGGTGTGAACAGGAGTGAGTGAGGAGCTTAGTATGTACCTGGCTTAATTCATGTCTGTATGATCAGAATTGTATTATTCAGACTTTCCCGTTGCTTCAATAGACTCTTAAGGGTTTCTGCAGTCCAGCGGCTGTGCTGTTCCCTCCAGGACACAAGGGAGCGGGAGAGTTTTCCAATTACAAGTAAGGTCCAGAGACTACCGGCCGGCCCTCTTAGGAGCCATTGCTTCTTTACCCCTGCGTAAATTCTAAGCTTCCCAGTGTGGCCTACAGCCCCACCCAAATCCCCTACTCTCCCTAACTTCCACCTATCTCTTTCAGCACCCCCCCCCCATGCTCCACCAACACATAATTGCTTGGGATTTATTTTCCCTCGCTTCCAGATCCACGTGCTGTGTATGATTTTGAACTGGCTCTTAATTTTTACTACTTTTTTTTTTTTAAAATAAATGCTAGCAAATCACATATCCTCCTCCTTTCTGGGGTTCCCCTTTATCCTGAATTGTCTCTAAATAAATCCCCAGAGTTTGTGAGGTCCCAGGGGGTGTGGGGGCATCCCCGGCATGGCAGGGAGGGGTGGGCCCTGGGACGTTGGTGCGCTGGTGAAGATGACCCTACACCCGCCCAAGCCAGGCCCAGGCTTTGCTCACTGGAGCGCAAACTCTAGGGGAGCTTTCATTCAGGATCCTTACAGCTTTTCTTGACACTTTCTGTTGTCATCGTAAGGCCAGCTGCTCTACCGCCCACAGATCTGCTTAACTTTAGCAGTGCAAGGTTTGGGGTGTCATTTATTCATCTAACAGATATACATGGAGCGTCTGCTAAGGTGCCTGGGGATACAGCATCTGGCACTCTACTTACATTCTAGCCTACCTTCTGCTACGGGAGACAAAATACAGGCAGCTGGGGGCGGAGCTGCATTGCAGCAGGTGAAGCAGCCACCGGCAATGTGGTCGTCCCTATGTGCACCGGTTCAAGTCCCAGCTGCTCCGCTTCTGATCCAGCTCCCCGCTAATGCGCCTGGGAAAGCAGCAGAAGATGGCCCAAGTATTTGGGTCTTTGCCACCCCTGTGGGAGACCTGGATGGAGTTCCTGGCTCCTGGTTTTGGCCTGGTCCAGCCCTGGCTGTTGTGGGCATTTGGGGAGTAAACCAGCAGATGGAAAATCTCTCTTTCTGTCACTTTGCCTTTCAAATAAATATGTAAATCTTAGTGAGAAAGAGAGAGAGAGGGAAAGAGAGAGAGAGAGATGCAAACCAGAATGAGGATAATTTAGAATATAAACAAATTACAATTCCAGATGGATAGACTAGCAAAAATGGGACAGGAATAATACTTAATGATGAAAACTTTCTAGAATTGGTGCAAAACAAATCCACAGATTTGGGAAGCTTAACAAATTCCCAAAGAGATAATTAATAAGCAATTCTACCCAGATATACTGTAGTCAAACTTCAGTGTGTGTGTGTGTAGGGGGACAGCTCAATTTTCCAGCAAAACTCCATAGCTACTGGAAATTCCCAGTCTCCTGAAAGACTTGTGGGAATTATTCTAATTCTAATTATAGGCTTCTAGCCTGTGTTTAAGAATTATTTTATTATGAAATATATAATAAAAAGTTACATAAAACAGGCTTCTAGTTTTTAATTATTGAAGTTATAGAGATCAAAGAGATTAAGAAATCAAGGCTCAGAGAAATTGAGATTTACTGGAGGTTACACAGCTGATGGTTGTACTTTAGATTTTTTTAAAGATTTATTTGTTTATTTGAAAGGCTGAGGGGCCACGGTTGTGGCTTAGTGAGTTAAACTGCCACCTACAATGCTGGTATCCCATGTGGGCACTTGTTCATGTCCTGTCTGCTCCCCTTTCTGACCAAGCTCTCTGCTAATGTGCTCTGCCATCCACATGGGAGACCCAGCTGAAACTCCTGGCTCTTGTCTTTGACCTGACCCAGCCCCAGCCATTGCAGCCATGGGGGGAGTAAACCAGCAGATATCTTTCTGTCTGTGTCTCCCTCTCTCTCTGTAACTCTGCTTTCAAATAAATTTTAAAATCTTATAAAAAAAGTGAAAAGATGAGTTACAGGGAGAAAGAAAAGGAGAGGGAGAGAGAGAGAGAGAGAGAGAGAGAGAGAGAGAGAGAGAGAGAGGTGTCTTTCATATATTTCCATCTGCTGGTTCACTTCCCAAAGCCAGGAGCCTGGAACTCCATCTGGGTCTCCCACGCAGGTGACAAAGGCCCAAGCTCTTGGGCCATCTTCTGCTGCTTCCCCAGCAGAAGCAGGGAGCTGGAATGGAAGCAGAGCAGTCAGGACTCGAACAGGCACCCATATGGGATGCTGGTGTCCTGGGCAGGAACTCTACCTGCTAGGCCACAGTGTCAGCCCCATGCTTTTTGATTTTTATGAAGATCCAATCTTGCTGTTGCACATCCTACATTTTTTGATGCTGCTGTTTAAAATTTGTTCTAATTATTTGAAAAAAATCTCATTCATATTCAAGTTAGTAAGTTTTCTACTGGCACGGCTTTTTTGATATATCTCGTGTGATAAGACTCTCCAGAGTTCATCCTTATTAAAGCTCCAGGTGATTTCTAACAACCAAACAACCTTAAAAGCACGCTTCAGGGAGTGCTTAAGAAAGGGAAACGAGGCAGCCAGATAGCTATGACAAAGCGCATTTATTTTTTTGGGGAAAATTATAGTGCTTTATGTTCGCAAAGCATACAAACAATTCCTTATGTAAAAAGTATAGCCAGTTTTTCTGTTGTATTCATATCAATGTGAGCTTTGTTTCTTGAAGCTAACACTTAACGAGTGATTTTCTTTAACAGAGACTGATTTTTCTACTGGAAATGCTAGGAAAATGAACAGTGAATTTATTACGTGTAATACATAAGCTACTTAAATGTTCTAAATGGAATTCTAAATGCAAGGATTCTTTCCTGAGAGCATCCAAGTTCAGGCTAAGAGCTGCAAACTTTAAAACTGTTTTAAAACCTAACCCTACGGAAGAGCGCTCCTTGCTGGCCCCGGGATCTGAGTCCATTTGACTCGTGGCCACCAGGGGGCGTGCCTCAGGAGAGAAAAGGACTTCACGGCGGCCAGATTGGCGACACATTGCCCCTCCACTCCCTTCTACCACTTAGCGGCAACTCTTCGGATGCAGCTTGCAGTTCCGGAAGCAAACTATCCATTAACAGGGTCTATATTTCTGAGTGAGAGGAACGTCTGTAACTTGTGATCAAAGTCAATGGCTCTGAACTGCGGCTCCTTGTATTTTTTGGTCATCTTGGCACCCAGGTATGTTATGAGTTCACATCTCTCTACAAACTGCTCCATCTTCTTCTTGTACTTCCTTCTTGTATATTCAGAGCCTTTGGGGTTAAATGCTGTAGAAAATGACAGAGAGCTGTGACTGTTTTTGGTTAGGCTGGGGGACCTGGGAGAGACACAGGGCTGGCCGTGTGCCTGAACTGCACGGCTTTGGCTGAGAACAAGTCTAGATCCCAAAGAGGAGCTGGGGATTATTCTCCTTTAGGCTGTGATTGCCAGCGCTCGCCTTTCCCCATAACGTGCAGAACTGGGAGCTGACCTTTTAATCCCAGTTCCTGCTTTTTTCAAGCTAGAAATTCAGTTTTGATAGTTTTGTTAAAATATTTGCCCCATATTGCATTGCATTTCTCACCAACACACACGCACACACACACGCACACGCACACACTCCAATCAAGCAACCACCCCAACTTAACAAGCCTTTTTATATTTGACAGGCTTTCAAAAAGTTCATGGAAAATGTCTACTCAGATACTTTGTAAAATTTTTGGGAAATGTAACTAAAAGATAAATTTAAAAATGTTTTGAAATCCATGCACAGTTTTTTCATAACAACATTTTAATGAACTTTCTGTATACTTTTTGTATGCTACAATTAATGACACATTAATTCTGAGTACCATATCATGAAAAAGCCACACTTTGGGGCTGGCATTGTGGCACAGTGAGTTAAGCTACTGCTTGCAATGCTGGCATCATATACGGGCACTGGTTTGAGTCCCGGCTACTTCACTTCCGATCCAGCTCCCTGCTGGTATGCTTGCGAAAACAGCAGAAGATGGCCCAAGTCCTTGGGTCCCCGCATCCATGTGGGAGACCTGGATGGAGTTCTAGCTCCTGGCCTCAGCCCAGGTCAGCCCTGGTTGTTGTGGCCATTTGGCGAGTGACCAGCAGATGAAGATCTCTCTCTCTCTCTCCCTCTCTGTGTGTGTATGTGTCTTCCTTTCTTTCTGTAACTTGGTCTTTCAAATAAATAAATACATCTCTAAAAAAAAAAAAAAAGACGTACCTTTTAGATGAAATGCTATATACAGCAGCGCAGATCTCCTCACACTTAGGAAGGGGAATTTGGGCTTTAAGCATCCTACTGCATTCATGGCTTTAATCAGAGACGTGGCGATACCCTGAGGGTAGGCAACAGTTTAAATCATGTGCTATCTGAGTTTGCTTTCTTGGTGCAAACAGATAAAGTGGTCACCCCAGGTAGCCTCGGGGGTTGAAAATGGGGTATGATACTTAGCCAACAGGAAGGAAACACAAGATGCATCTAATTGGGATGCATGGACATTACAGATTGGCTGAGTGCCAGGTGGGTGATAGGTACCTGCACATAGCCTCTCTGGTTTTGTCTGTTTGCCATAGTCCATAACAAAAAGGAAAAACAGAGAGAGCGGGAGGCAGGCCCTGCATCGTCCTGGCCCATTTCTGCTTCCTTTCCTGGAACTGGCCAGATTGCCTCCCAGTCTGCAGGCTCCTGAGCCACAGTGAGGACTGCAGGCAACAAGAATTTGTGACTGTGGTAAGCAGCTGTGCCCCAGGTCTTCATCTTGTAGAATTAAAACAAACAAACAATGAGGACAACAACAACAAAAACCCTAGCTTTAAAAATAGTAGTTGGCTACTGATAAGTTTTATCATTTAACCAAAAATATTCTATTTGGGTAAATGAGATGTGGCTTGAATAGGCGGCTTCACTGGGGTTTGGAGCAAGTCCCCAGCTCTGGGGTTCACTCATCCTGGCATTGCAACTCAGAGATTTTGTGCAGTGAATGAGCCTCTGACTCAACCTGGGTCTTTCCTGTTATGAGGAAGTTTAACAGATACAGAATTTCAAAAAATAAGGACCAAGCTACCGTCAAATGGCAGAACAATCTCCCCTCCCTTCACATCAGCGCAGCTCTGTTTGGGAATTAGCTATGAAAGCAGGGGCTTTTCACACATTCTGTTTTAACAACCACCCATCCGCAAATAGGGGAAGAGCGGTTTTGCAGCTGAAGAGCAGAAAGCTCTGCCTTGAATTTCATTGTTACCAAAATCAAAGTTGTGAAAAAACAGGGAGCATGGTGCTTTTTCCATAGGTTTCCTAGACAGCAAGCCCTGGACAGCACCTGCTCCAGGTATCCAGGCAGAGGCAGGCTGGTGAGAGAGATGGGCTGCTTCAGCGGGGGCAGCTTGTGTGGAAGCTTCTGGTCCCAGTACTTCTGTGGCGACCTAGGACACAAAGGTCAGTACGTGGACGCCCGCACACGTCCTCGTGTGTGCACCTAGGAATGTGCATGGCCAGGGGCCAGCCAGAAGCTCAAGTTCTCCACCTGTTTCTCGCCCCTGGAGAATGCACAAGTGGAAGCACTGGAGTTCCCAGCCACCCACTTCCCTGGCCGCCAGGTGGCCCTGCTCACCTGCCCTTGCTCAGCTGCTCAGCACAAGCCGAGCCATGCCCACCGGCCTGTGCCCGCCGCACAGGCACCTCCCAGCCAAGACCCCTCCCTGCCCAGGCGTCCACCTGCTTCCCTGTCCCCCACTTGGCTTCCCACCGAGTCTCCAGTCTAGGTGTCTTATTCTAGCACCTTCTTTCTCCTTCTCTCCCCCATTTGGCGTTTCCTTCTTCATTGGATCCCTCTCATGCGTCTGCATTTAAACGTGCTCACAATCCCCCCCCCCCTCCCCCAGCCAGAATAAAGGGAAAAAGGAAAAGCTACCTCGATTCCCTCAGTCCCAGATCCCTTCTAGCAACTCGCACCTCTTCCCTCTCTGCACAGCCACCCTGTGGCCGACAGTGCCCGGGACTGCACGCTACAGCAGAAACGCCGTCTGTGGCTGTGACTCGATCCACACAGTGTTTTATTTTATAAGTTGAGTCAGTCGTGCGCGTCTAAAACTCAGCAGAATGTAACAAGAAATGTGGTCTCCCCACAAGAAATGTGCGGCAGCTGAGGAGGAGGTTGTGCGTGGTCTGCTTTATGGTGGTCTCCCTTCTCCCGCTGGTTTGCACCTAACCTGCTTCCAGCTGCTGCAGGTGTCTATCATCCTGGACTACGGGTGGGGCCTCTTATTTCCTCCTCTCTCTCGTCCATTCCTCGGAGCCCACCTGACTATGGACCCGTTCTCGCCAAGATCACCAATGCCCTGCCACAGCCTCCGCCACACACCTCTGCAGCCCGTGTCTTACTTGATCCCTGTGCAGCATCTAAGCCTGTTGGCCACCTGCTCCTAGAACCTCCCGCTCATCCCTCTGCCTCCCCATCCTGGCTCTCCTGGCTCCCGCTGGGGTTCTTTTTCAGTCTCCCTGTATGCTCTCCTGACTTCGGGGTGTTGGGGCTCCCATGCCCACTGCGTTCCCCGCATGCCGCTGAATGGGCCACCTCCAACATGTCGTGTGATTTGGAGTAGGGTCACTCGGCAGCCTCGTTCCTGACTGGTGCTCCTGCCTCCAGCCCACTGCCAGCACCCAGTGCAGGGAGTCAGTCCAGAGCGCATGGAAGTCTCACGCTGACCTACCTGGAGCCAGTCAGTCTTCCCACACTGCCCGTGGGATCAACCCCACGCAGGTTCAGGTGGTTTCACTTGACCTTCCTGCCACCTACTGGCCCCGCTCACCAGCCGCGGCTCTCTCTCTCTCTTTATCTCACCAGCCCCAGCTCTCTCTCTCTCTCTCTCTCTCTCTCTCAGCAGCCCCGGCTCCCCTGTCCTCCTCTCTGCCAACCCTGCAGCCAGCCCGGCTGAGTCTCCTGCAATTGGGTGGTCCCTGGGCTCCGTTTGCTGTGGGTCTCTCTGCTTGGAACCAGTCCCTGTCCGTCTTCATCTATCCGATTCTCACTGCTGATTGAGGCCTAGCTCTGACAGTTCAATCATGTTTTGGGCTTTACTTTGCTGGGATCCTCACAATTCAGCACCCTAAGTCTCCTTCCGTCTTGTTCTTGTCAGGTACCTGATAGGCAGCCTTACTCTGGCCTCTAGCTTTGGGACTGGCAGGGCCCGGTTTTGTTCTCCTCCATCATCATCATCATCATCATTGTCATCACATATGGATCTGCCTCCCTCCCCAGGCCCTAGGATCTCTTCAGTAAACGTCTGGGACAGTGAATGATCTCACCTCAGAAATTTCTCGAGCTTTTCTTTAGTCTCAAAAATATAGATGCGATCGCGGTATTCTACAGCGTGGTTAATGTTACCAGGAACCAGAGCTTCGTATCTGTAAGACCAAACAACAAAGAACAAACAAAAACCCGGAAAAGCTGTGTAGACAGCGGAAGGATCTTGATTTTCTACCTGGGCAGCTCAAGGAGGAGGCAGAGCGTGTTCCCAGGCAGACAGCAGTGAGCAGTGAGCACCGCTGACCCAGACCCCCAGAGGGGACATCCTCGGGGCTCCCGGCAGGGCGGGCACTTGCCTTTGCTTTCCATCCTGATAGGTGACCGGACAGTAGCCCTGGAGCTCGGCACACTTAGGGAACCTGTGCTTCAGCTCGGACAGTGTCAGCCTCTTGGGGATCATGTCAGCAGGTGGGAGAGGATGCGGTGCTAAGGGAGGCACGTACAATTCTGGGTTCACCAAGAATTTCTAGGAAAAAACAAATCACAGCAGCAAAGCCATTTAAGACAGGAATGCCACACCAAGCAAAAATCTGCGGAGGTTCTTTGTTCTTCCCGGCAGGAACACCTGCCGGTCTTTAGACCATCCAGGGGCAGCTGCCAAGTGGTCACATCGGAGGCCCTTGGGATCTCATTCATTCATTCACACGCAATGCTCTGCCGAGCTCCTGCTATGTGACACTGGGGAGTGCCCAGTCACTCGTGGCCAGCTGTCCTGCCCTCCTTGTGGGATAACTAGGTAGTTGGACAGGTGAGTTAGCTTCCCTAGTTTCAGTTACCACTTTGTAAAGTGCAGGGGCCAGATCAGATTCATAATATCTAATCTCGTTTTCCTCTAAAAATTATGTTTTCTTCATTTTTAAGCTTTTATTTGATAGGTGGCGGGGGGCAGGTCGGGGAGAGATTTATAGAGAAAGAGATAGAGGTATCTTCCACTAGCTGGCTCACTCCTCCACAGCAGCTGAGCCTGGGCCAGGGTGAAGCCAGGAGCCTGGAAGGTAGTCAGGGTCTCCTCCATGGGTGGCAGGGACTCGAGCACCTGAGCCATCTTCTGCCTCTTTCCCAGGGTGTGCACTTGCAGGAAGCTGCAGTTGGAAGTGGAGCTGCGACTCAGACCCGGGCTTGTGTTACAGGAGGTGGGCATCCCAGGCAGAGGTGGAACTGCTGCACTAAGTATCTGCTGCTTTGATGACATTTTCTGTTCTAAAATTCTGCGTCTACCATTTAAAGAAGTGGGAAGAAATAAATAGCTCCTCAACAAAGGGATTGAAAGTTGAAGTTCTTCCAAGGAAGATAAAATACTTAGAGGCATCTGATGAGTTTTGAACCCCCAGCCAACCTGCTTATGTCATCAACTCGTGGGCATGACAGTATCAGCATGGCCAGCCCTCTGCACCTGCAGAGTAGACCAGCTGCAGAAGGCCCAAAGTCCTGGAAAGCAATGCTCTGGGCAAGCACAGACTTTTCCTCTTGTCACTATTCCCTGCAAGGCGGCTCACTACAGGGCAACAGACTGTGTTAGTTATGAACAGTTTAGAGGTGGCTTGAAGTATAGGGGAGGATGTGCCTACATTAGCGCGAATACGAGGCCTGAGCAACCCCGGATTTTGATGTCCACAGGTGTCCTGAGCCCTGATGGGTACCAAGAGATGATTGTAAAGGTATCCCGGGAATTCTGGTGATGCAAAGCCGATTCAAAGCACAGAGGACTTTTTTTTTGGGGGGGGGCCAACTTTCATTTCCTTTAGGTGCCTTGGACTTCTTTTCTGAAGCCCTTGGAGCTGAATGTCCCGGATGCCCACCCGAGGGCCAGACCCTTGATGCTCCGGACCCGCCCCGTTGGTGGGGCTCACGCTGGCTCTCCCCTGCCTGTTGGGCTAGCCCAGGCTAAGGAGCCATCAGGGATGGCCGGCTTGTGCCGTGTTTCCAGACAGTCACAGGCCCAGTGGTGGGGCTCCTGGCCTTGAGTTTCTGGGTGCTCCCAGCTGCACCCACCCTTTCCAAGAATAGCACACATTTGCGATGAGGAGCAAACCCACCTGTAGTTTTTCCCACGAATGCATTTTATAATAGTGCCCACGGAACTCTGCTGCAAATTCCAAGGATTCATTTACAGAGCAGTCAAACAGTTCATTGGCTTCTGCCAGGCTGACAGGGCAGAACTGTCCAAATTCCCCCAGGCGAGAAACCAGGTCTTGAGGTGTGATGCATAGGTTGTCAATGCAGGCGGCTTTTCCTGTTATTAACACATGAATTACTGCGATTTTAACAGTTAACATACTTTCAGTGACCTGGCACCATGCCAATATGTACCCACTGTAAAATTCCAAACAATAAAACACAAAGTAGAAGACACAGAAGGTCTAATCCATACCTCCCTCCTCTCAATCCTGCAGCTCTCTGGCATGGTGACCCCTGCAGGTGCAGATCCTCCTCTCACTTTTCCTACACATTTCTCTAGATCCATGTATCCTGCACGTGGTAGGCTTTTGCCACTCTATTGTAAGCCTTATTCTGCAGCTTGCTTTTTTTTAATCAGTTATTAGTATTTTTGACATCTTTCTATATCAGTTTACATAATTTACCTAATTCTTTTTCACTGATGTACAGTATTCCACTGTATACATAAAATTTACTCAGTCATTTATCTGTTGATGAGTGTTTTAGTTCTTAGTATAAATGATATGTATCTGTTATAAATAATATTTATATGTGTACATATACAGAAATGTGTGAATACATTTGAATGAAGAGTTCATGGAATATGTATTTTACGAAAACACTGAATAGATTTTAATATTTTTGCACCAAAATAAAATTACTGATTATCTTTTAATTTTTACAGACAGGCAGAGGCAGAGAAAGAGAGGTCTTCCATCCACTGGTTCACTCCCCAAATGCTTGCAGTGGCTGGAGCTGTGTCGATTCGAAGCCAGGAGCCAGGAGCTTCTTCTGGGTCACCCATGTGGGTGCATGGGCCCAAGGACTTGGGCCATTTTTTTTTTTTGACAGGCAGAGTGGACAGTGAGAGAGAGAGAGAGACAGAGAAAAAGGTCTTCCTTTGCCATTGGTTCACCCCTCAATGGCCACTGTGGCCGGCACACCCCGCTGACCCGAAGCCAGGAGCCAGGTGCTTCTCCTGGTCTCCCATGCGGGTGTAGGGCCCAAGCACTTGGGCCATCCTCCACTGCACTCCCTGGCCACAGCAGAGAGCTGGACTGGAAGAGGGGCAACCAGGACAGAATCTGGCGCCCCGACTGGGACTAGAACCCAGGCTGCCAGCGCTGCAGGCAGAGGATTAGCCTATTGAGCCATGGCGCTGGCCAACTTAGGCCATCTTGTACTGCTTTCCCAGGTGCATTAGCAGGGGGCTGGATCGGAAGAGGAGCAGCCAGGACTCTAACCGGAGCCTATGGAATGCCATTGCTATAGGCGGTGGCTTTACCCACTATGCCACAACTCCAGCCTCTCCTTTGTTGTTCTTTAGTGCAAATGTGCTGAACCTCACTAATCCTAAGCAGTTCAGTGATTTAAATCACAGGTTTAGTAATTTAGTCTTGAAAGGCACCTAAATATCTCTTTCTGATTCTTGGGATATTCTTAATGACATCTGACAATGTTCACATCTTGTTCTGGAATGTGGCAGAATGACGAGGAATCTCATCTTTTAGCCCTGGCCTTGCCCCATCTCACTGGGTAGAGTAAACCTTGGGCCCCTGACAGGGAAACATCATTTGAACAGCCTACAAAAGAAATACAGAATGCAAATAAATAAATAAATAAATAAATAAAACTGACTTCAAATCCATCAGATACAGGTGGCCCTGAAGCAGCAAAGAACACGGGCAGATGCCCATTGGATTACAGTGTTTGAGGACAGGGCTTGGTCCTGGAGTAATGTGCTGGATGCTGTGGCCCCCTCCTCAGAGCCCACGCGCTCCATTTCCCAGCTACTAAGAAGAATGGCATGCAGAGGCGCCCTTTCATGGGGGAGTGGCGGTCCCCTGCGAGTCTCTTTTAAGAGGGCACTAATTGGCCGGCGCCGTGGCTCACTAGGCTAATCCTCCGCCTAGCGGTGCCGGCACACCGGGTTCTAGTCCCGGTCGGGGCGCCGGATTCTGTCCCGGTTGCTCCTCTTCCAGGCCAGCTCTCTGCTGTGGCCCGGGAGTGCAATCGAGGATGGCCCAAGTACTTGGGCCCTGCACCCCATGGGAGACCAGGAAAAGCACCTGGCTCCTGGCTCCTGCCATCGGATCAGCGTGGTGCACCGGCCGCAGCGTGCCGGCCGCGGCGGCCATTGGAGGGTGAACCAACGGCAAAGGAAGACCTTTCTCTCTGTCTCTCTCACTGTCCACTCTGCCTGTCAAAAAAAAAAAAAATAGCCGGCGCCGCGGCTCACTAGGCTAATCCTCCGCCTAGCGGCGCCGGCACACTGGGTTCTAGTCCCGGTCGGGGCGCCGGATTCTGTCCCGGTTGCCCCTCTTCCAGGCCAGCCCTCTGCTGTGGCCAGGGAGTGCAGTGGAGGATGGCCCAGGTGCTTGGGCCCTGCACCCCATGGGAGACCAGGATAAGCACCTGGCTCCTGGCTCCTGCCATCGGATCAGCGCGGTGCGCCGGCCGCAGCGCGCCGGCCGCGGCGGCCATTGGAGGGTGACCCAACGGCAAAGGAGGACTTTTCTATGTGTTTCTCTCTCTCACTGTCCAGTCTGTGTGTCTAAAACCCTAAAAAAAAAAAGAAAACCCTCCTGGCTGAGGGCACTAATCCCTTTCCAGAGAGCGGAAGCACTCATATGGCCTAGACACCGCCCACAGGCCACACCTCTTCATACTATTGCACTGGGGGGTTGGCTTCAACCCAGGCATGCTGGGGGATCACGGAGCCTTCAGAGCATAGCGCGCCAGTAACTGAATGGTACTCTGGATTTGAAATACTTGCTAAGATCGCTGGGACAAACATTCAAACAGGATGAGCTACAGGAACACGAGCTAGCTGCGTTTAGACTTCAAATTCACATTTTACTCTATACCTTTTAAAATGTTTCCTCACCTGCTTTTATTCTATCCAGGTATGTTTGCATGTAATTGTTCACCACTTGAATATTCTTCATGACTTCATTCCACACCCACCATTTGCTGTGAAATCCGTCAATCACGCACCAGTTTCGGTGCTGCTGCTGGTAATATTGCCGAATCTCGACAACATTTTTGCGGTACTTTGCATTTTTGACAGCTATAATTTGTGCACTGTTGTGCAACGGATACGGGAAACTAATAGGGGAACAGAAGGAATGGAAAGGGCTGTGAAAAGCAAACTTTTTTTTTCCCTTGGATAATTACAGTTCACTTTTTCATTAGGTACATTACCTCTGCTCCATTTTTTTATCCAGGATCAGCCTTTTGAAAATCTCTTTGGAAGGCACATCCAACTCAAAGATGATCATGGGAATGATTGACCTGGCTTCCAAGAGGTTCATTTGGTGTGGAGTTACAGGGTACCCATCGATGACGACTCTGACCGAGAGAAACGTGAAAACAGAAGTTCTAGGACAGGTCTGTGATGCAGCGGTGAGGACACGGCTTGGGACACCCGCCTCCCGTATCAGAGCGCCTGGGTTTGAGAACCCGGCTCCGCTTCCAGTTCTAGCTTCCTGCTAATGCACATTCTGGAAGGCAGCAGATGACGGCTCAAGTACTCAAGTCCCCGCCTCCCACATGGCAGACCTGGCTTCAGCCTGGCCCAGTCTTGGCTGTTGGGGGGCCTTTGGGGAGTGAACCAACATATGGGAGCACACTCTCTTTGTCTCTCTTGGTCTTTTAAATAAATAAAATATGTAAATTTAGAAAACAAAAGTAAGAATTCTATATTTTTTTTTGACAGGCAGAGTGGATAGTGAGAGAGAGAGACAGAGAGAAAGGTCTTCCTTTTGCCATTGGTTCACCCTCCAATGGCCACTGCGGCTGGCGCACTGCAGCCGGCGCACCGCGCTGATCCGATGGCAGGAGCCAGGTACTTATCCTGGTCTCCCATGGGGTGCAGGGCCCAAGCGCTTGGGCCATCCTCCACTGCACTCCCGGGCCACAGCAGAGAGCTGGCCTGGAAGAGGGGCAACCGGGACAGAATCCAGCGCCCCGACCGGGACTAGAACCCAGTGTGCCGGCACCGCTAGGTGGAGGATTAGCCTAGTGAGCCGCGGCGCCGGCCAAAATTCTACATTTCTTTCCTTCAGTCTTCCAGAATGAGTTCCTCTCTTTAGCAGTAGCCCTGCGCCTTTGCTTTATGTAACTCAATGTCTCTCCTTCCAGTTTGGCTTTTCTTGAACTGCTTCGGTCTGCTCAGGCACTGAGTCAGGCAGTACATGGTTCAGAAGGCAGAGGCAGGAGAGAGCTGGGGATCCATCTGTTGGGCATCATAGAGCAAGGCTTTGGCACAATTCAAGAAGTGAACAGTATGTTCAAATGGCTATTCTAACCGCAAAATGGTACCCAGGACAGGTTTCAGCGGCATACAGATCTAGATCTGAAACCTGATTTGAGTTCCCTGAGTCCCAGTTTAACAACGTTAAACCCTTGGGGTTGTTTTAAAGCTTGGCAATCAGGTATGTGAAACAATTAGAACAGGAGCCGGCACAGGTTAGATGCTCAATACAAGTGTCTTGGTGGTGGGCTGAGCAAACAGGGAAAGGTGTTCTAGGCTTGCTTTTGAGCTGAGGGCCTTGCGAGGAGGCTGGGGATGCAGACGGGGCTGGCGAGAGGGGCTTGGTGATACCCAGGGGAAACTGTTCCATCAGGATCCTGCACACACGGCTCTGAGCGGACACAATGGAGACGGCGTAAGCAGTCAGAGGGAGCGAGACTGGGACTGTCAGGCTGACAGCAGGAACACAGGCTGTGCATGGATCCCCACCGTGAGTGGGGAGCAAGCAAGGGCGCTGGACGGGCGTCCTGAGTCTGGGCTGCTGTGGTCTGAGACAGCTCCACAGAGGTCTCTAGGTCTAAACTCCACGGCAGGGATGACTGCAAGTGGGCACCTGCAGGCCAGCCTATGAGAGGGTGGCTGTGGGTGCCACTGGGGTTTCCAGTACACAGCAGCTCGGCTCCTGTGCCCTGTGAAGGGTCTTACGTGCAGCTCTCAGGGTTAGGGGAATTCAGAGTGGGTGAGCAGTGCACTGAGATTAAGGTGGAGTAAAACCTCCACAGCTCTACGAGGACTGCCCTAACTGAGCTCTCTGCTGTGCAAAGCTGAACACCTGAGGGAGTAACTCAGTTTTAAGTCCCAGTGCCTTCTCCGGGGAAAACGTCTGATGCCCTGCCCTCCACCACAGACTTAGGAGAGCTGTCCAGGGACTTGGTTCATGGCCAGTGGCAAGGAAGGGCAAGGAAGCTTCTAATGTGCACCAACCTAAAGGACGCTGCGGGAGCCTAGGTCAGGGAACCGTGCTCAGGCCCTGGGCGGTGCTGGTGCTGGGAGCACTGGGCAGGTGGAGGGCTGCAAACAGGAGGGAGAGCCCAAGCACGCAGCTGTCTTGTCCAGAGGTAGCATTAAGGGAGGGACATTGCTCCCTGTGCAGAGGGCTGGGCCAGCGAGAGACCATGTCCACAGGAACAGCAGAGGAGGATACCCCTCCTCCATTATTGATTGACTTGCAAGAGAGGGAGAGAGAGAGAGGGAGAGAGAGAGAGAGAGAGAGAGAGAGGATATCTCCCACGCACTGACTTGTTCCCAAAACGCCTGCAGTAGCTGGGGCTGGGCCAGGCTGAAGCCAGGACCCTGGAACTCTGGGTCTCCCATGTAGGTGGCAGGGACCCAACTACCTCAGCCGTCACTGCTGCCTCCCACGGTGCTCATTAGCAAGAAGGGGATTGGTATTGGAGCTGGGAACAACCCAGCGACTCTGAGATGGGATGTGGGTGTGCCAAGTGGCGCCTTAACTGCTGTGCCAAACACCCGCCCCAACCATTATTTCATGGGCTGGTGAGAAGCTCCACCCGGAGCTGGAAGTCACGTGGGCCTCCTCTGTGGACTGTGTAAGCCTGGAGGCTTTTGGACAGCGCAGGGGTTGCGCTGGGACAGCAGAGGCTTGCCGGCTACTCTGGCCTCTGAGTGTGCAGCCGGGTTGTTAGCTGGAGGGAAAATCAAGCTGTGCAACCACCCAGCGGCTCACAGCCCAAGAAGTGGATCCCACCCTCAACAAACGCCGGTGGGCGTTCCAGAACCCTTCAATCACGTACCCCGCTGTATTGCACACGCTTTCCATCAGAGACAGTTCCAAGGCCTGAATGGCCAGTTCGTCCGGTGCTGCCTTGCCTTTGCAGAGATGCCAGTTCAGCATAAGGGCCAGCTCTGCCTCTTGGTGGTGGTTTAACACGGACCGCAGAGCTTCCCCCATAGACAAGCGCTTTAAGCCGTATTCATTTGCAATTTTTTTGGCCACTGAAAAACACAAAGCATTAACACCTGGTTTCAAAAATTCCCCACTCAAGCTCACTTTCAGCCTCTGCCGAATGACATCAGCAGGCAGCTCATCTTCCCGTGACTCAAAGAATTTCCTAAAGTTAAAATTGCCACATTTTACTGCATGAATAATTGCCAAAGATCAGCTCCTGCCAGTCCTTCGGGTATGTGGCTAATAGATCTGGCTAATGAGCCAATTCTGTTTTCTTCTTCTTTTTTTTAATAACCAAACAGATGCTTAAATGTTTTCTTCCTTCTGCATGAGGTGACAACGTTTCTGAGGGCTCTGCTAGATAGCCTATGTATATTTTTAAAGATTCTAATTGATCCACTAGAAATTGCACATATTTCTGGGGCATCATGTTTTTTTGTTTGTTTGTTTGTTTTTGTTTTTGTTTTTTGTTTTTTTGGACAGGCAGAGGTTAGACAGAGAGAGAGAGAGAGAGACGGAGAGTAAGGTCTTCCTTTCCGTTGGTTCACCCCCCAAATGGCCGCTACGATGTGCTGTTCTGATCTGAAGTCAGGAGCCAGGTGCTTCTCCTGGTCTCCCATGCGAGTGCAGGGCCCAAGCACCTGGGCCATCCTCCACTGCCTTCCTGGGCCACAGCAGAGCTGGACTGGAAGAGGAGCAACCGGGACAGAATCCGGCGCCCCGACCGGGACTAGAACCCCGGATGCCGGTGCCACAGGCGGAGGATTAGCCAAGTGAATCGCGGTGCCGGTCATGATCATCATGTGATGTTTTGATGCAAATACATAGTGTGGGCTTTAAGCTACTGTGCCACAGTGCCAGTCCCAATAATTAAGCTTTAAAAGTGCACATCTTGGGCCGGCGCCATGGCTCAATGGGCTAATCCTCCGCCTTGTGGCGCTGGCACACAGGGTTCTAGTCCCGGTTGGGGCACCGGATTCTGTCCTGGTTGCCCCTCTTCCAGGCCAGCTCTCTGCTATGGCCCGTGAGTGCAGTGGAGGATGGCCCAAGTCCTTGGGCCCTGTACCCACATGGGAGACCAGGGAAAGCACCTGGCTCCTGGTTTCGGATCAGCGCGAAGCGCCAGCCGCAGTACACCGGCCGCAGCGGCCATTGGAGGGTGAACCAATGGTAAAGGAAGACCTTTCTCTCTGTCTCTCTCTCTCACTGTCCACTCTGCCTGTAAAAAAAAAAAAAAAACACAACCAAAAACGTGGACATCTTGTTTAAAAATGGTGCTTGTGGCATAGTAGGCTAAGCCTCTGCCTGCAGTGCCAGCATCCCATGTGGGTGCCAGTTCAAGTCCTGCCTGCTCCACTTCTGATCCAGCTCTCTGCTATGGCCTGAGGAAATCAGTGGAAGAAGGCCCAAGTGCATTTTCCATGAACTTTTGGAACACCTCTCATATACTATTTTAATAAACTATTATTGTTAATTTCATGATGTTTCACTTAGGATATCTGACTACAAATACAAATGATATTAGCTTTGATTTCTTTTATTGTATTATCTTTCATCTTTTTTTTTTTTTTTTTGACAGGCAGAGTGGACAGTGAGAGAGAGAGACAGAGAGAAAGGTCTTCCTTTTGCCATTGGTTCACCCTCCAATGGCCGCTGCGACCGGCGTGCTGCGGCCGGCGCATGACGCCAATCCGAAGCCAGGAGCCAGGTGCCCCTCCTGGTCTCCCATGCGGGTGCAGGGCCCAAGGACTTGGGCCATCCTCGACTGCACTCCTGGGCCATAGCAGAGAGCTGGCCTGGAAGAAGGGCAACCGGGACAGAATCCGGTGCCCCGACCGGGACTAGAACCCGGTGTGCCAGCGCCGCAAGGCAGAGGATTAGCCCATTGAGCCACGGCGCCGGCCGTGTTATCTTTCTTATGTATTTATTTAGTTACTTACTTGAAGGAGCGACAGAGAGAGGAAGAGACACACAGAGAGGGACAGAGATCTTTCAGCTGCTGGCTCACTCCCCAAACGGCCACAAGAGCTGGGGCTGGGTCAGGATGAAGCGAGGAGCCAGGAGGTCCATCGGGGGCTTTCACATGGGTGGCAGGGGCTCAGCACTGGAGCCATCATCTGCTGCCTCCCATTTATGTTAGCGGAAGCAGCAGACACAAAGGCAGGACTCGATCCCAGGCGCTCCGATACAGGCACAGAGGACCTAAGCGGAGGCTTAACCCGCTGCACCACAGCACCTGCCCCACTGTATGATCTTTAAGTCCTGATATCAGGCTTATGTTAACTTAAAGATGGATTTATATCCTTTGTTTCTTTTTTCATTATACAGACTACATTCTTAACAAAAAATAAATTAAAATAAACTAGAAGGCTTACTCTTTTTTCCTGGCATGGAGAAGTTTCCAAAAACATAGGCGTTATCTTGAGTTTTTAATTCATGGAAAATTCAATGTAATTTTTCTCAAAAATTATTTGATCCTGGGCTATTTTATAATTGTGATACACACACATTTTTTTTTTTTTGAAAAGCAGAGGGACATAGGAAGAGAGAGACTGACAGAGATCTCTCATCTGCTGCCTCCCTCCCCCACCCTCTATGCCTACAATGGCCAGGTATAGTTCTGGCCAAGGCCAGGAGCCAGGAACTCAATCCAGGTCTCCCATGTGGGTGGCAGTGGCCCCACTACTCAAGTCATCAGCAGCTACCTCCCAGCAGGTACATAAGCAGGAAGCTGGAGTAGGAGCGAAGTTGGGACTCAAGCCCCAGACACTCTGATATGAGATGTGGCCTCTCTAGTGGCATCTTAACTATTAAGCCAGATGCCCGCCCTCGTTAGATGTTTGAAGGCCTTCTCTCCAGTGGTTATTGGTCCATGCAGGTTTGCTTGTCTTTTTGAGTCAACTGTGGTAGCTGGTTTCCTGAACAAGGGGCCCTGGGGATCTTCTTGTGTCCAAGGAAAACAAAGACAAGCCCATGCTCACCTGTGGTTTTTCCGGATTTTGGAGGCCCCACAATTACAATCCGAATGGGCACGGTGGGCTTAGGTTTGGGTTGGCGGATATATTTGATGGGGTTTTTCATAAACTTTTCTTTAGTTTCCTTACTAGACAAAAAGTAAATATACTGGCGATGGATTATAGGATAAATTGGGCTCTCTGCATTTTCAGCTGGCTTGATTGTCTCTCCTTCACTCAGCTGTAACACAATTGGATTTGTGAGTTAGCTTTCATCTGGACATTTCTCCCACATACAGTGGAAGGGGTGGGAGTGGGGTACGATGGGAAAAATCACTATGTTCCTAAAATTGTATTTATGAAATGCACGAAATTTGTATTCCTTAAATAGTTTCTGGGGAAAAAAAGTCTATAATATAAAAAAAATTAAGAAAAACCTCTTACAGTGTAGGAAAACTATTCTAATCAAATATTAATATCAAGTAACTGTGAAAAGTATAAATGCTACCCACATATGATCAGTGCAACGTATCTTAATTGGCTTTCACCTTATTACGACTAGAGATGGCCTTCTTTATAATGTCTTTAGCATACATTGAGTGTTTCTGTCAAGGGGCTATGGGTTACGTTTATTCCTGGGCTGGCTGATCGCTACAAACAGGCTGGCTCCTACAGCGGAGCTGTGGAGTGAATCCCCCCGCCCCCCCCATAATGCATGTCTTGGAATCCCAATCCCTAGACATTGTGTTTGAAGACAACGTCTTTCAGAAGGTAATGGAGATTCAGCGAGGGCATAGGATGGGGCCCTAACCCCACAGGACCAGTGCCCTTAGAAAGGGGAAGAGGCTGCAGGGGCTTGTGTGGGGGAAAGGCGGCAAGAGCTCACACCAGAGCAACCGCCTGCAGGCCAAGGGGCGGGGCCCCAGAGCAGCCAAACCTGCCGGCACCTGCATTGCAGACTTGCTGCCCGGAACCGTGAGAAAGTGCAGTTTCACTGGCTAAGTCGTTGTGTCCCTGCTGTCTGTGTGGCAGCTGGAGCACGCTCATGCAGGTCGGTTCCAGGGTGATCTTTTGGGATCCACTGGTGGTACAACTCCCACCGAGCTCCTTTCCACATTTTTGTCCAGAGGCAGAGCCACTCCCAGGGACATTAGCAGCAGTCATGAAAGGAAGACAGAACCACCCAAGGCAGCCTAGGGTGTAGGTCTGCAGTGGAGCGGAGCAGTGTGGGCCCACGTTTTTTTGCAATGGGTGCTTAACCGATGGCAGGTTTGGAAATCTTTGCGTGGCATCCGATGGCCCATCACCAGCTGTGCCTGCATTTGGCAGAGCAGGTGTGCAGCGATATGGCTGTAGGGCTCTCCCTGAGGGTACAGGCAGATGTACAGACGCACAGCGGCCACAGGGCACCATTCTTGGGCTGGGGTGGGGGTGAAGTTCATGGCTGAGAGTAAATGCTAAGGATGAGGAGAAACATAGGGGTACATGCAGGGGGTGGGAGTCATGTCTGCTCTGGGTTATATGCTTGGTAATAAGAGACAGGATGAAAGTTTAATTTCATTTCAAATCCCTAAGGATTTTTAGAGCTGGTTAAGGATACTACACAACGCTTAGTTTTTGAAATTAGCTGTTCTTCTTCCTGGATATATAAAAGAAAGGAAGAAGGGAAGAAGGAAGGGGGAAGGAAGGGAAGAAGGAAGGGGGAAGGAAGGAAGGAAGGAAGGAAGGAAGGAAGGAAGGAAGGAAGGAAGGAAGGAGGAAGGAGGGGAGGGAGGGGAGGGAGGCAGGAAAGGAGGGAGGGAGGGAAGGAGGGAGTGAGGAGGGAGGAAGATGGCTTTCAGGCACATTTGCTGAAATTACCTTCACAGGGTCCCAGTAGCCAAAAGAGCTCATGTGCCTGTAGGTGAAGGCGAGCATCTTCTGAGCAAGGTGCAGCGGCACTGGGTAGCACTTCTCAAAGATGCTCTCGCGCGTCTCCACCAGGGACTTCAGCTTCGTATTCAGCATATACTGTACAATGTGCATTTTCCGAGACCCGTTAATGAGAATGATTGGGATCAAAAACTTCTCAAATTCGTCCTGATGAGAGAAATCATAAAACCAAATAGATTTACTGGGGGTGGGGGGTGGGTGGGAGGCAGTCAGCATTGTCACTGCACGAGGACTCTGTTGGTGACCGACCACTTCTAGTCCAGCCAACCTCACTCAGGCTTCCACGGGGCTCTCCATCTGTGGGCTTGTGAAGGGATACAGACAAAAGGGAATCTAGCCCTAAAATAGACATTTCCATTGGAATGCTATAGACAAACAAACAAACAAACAAAAAAGGCACCAATCAAATTGCCTTTGTTCCACTCTCAAATGTTCTGTGTTGAATTTTGAACAATGAGGGGAAAGGGACAACCTGGATCATCTGTGCGTTGTTTAAGTCGCTCTCGAATTTCTCTCCCAGTTCATTTTTCAGGCGCTCGACTGCCTCGGTTTCCTGTTCTTCGTCTTCCTCACTCATCTCTTCCTCGTCTTTCGGGAACTCTTCCTCGAGGATGTTCTCAATGTCGTCTTCTTCGTCCTCAGGCTCCTCCTCGCTTATGTCCTCATCTTCCCTCAGACCCATCTAAGGGAGAAAACACCGCCTTTCACCGCACGGACCGACCGCTGCCCCAGCCACCCGCAGGAATCCGTGATGACTGGGTGTTTGGTTGCTATCACGTGGCAACGTTCATCTAGCAACACAGTAAGGTTTTATCTTAATTAATTTTGAAGGTCAGAGTTACAGAGAGAGGGGGAGAGATGGAGAGAGAGATCTTTCATCTATGGGTTTACTTCCCAGATGGCTGCAATGGCCAGTGCTGGGTCAGGCTGAAGCCAGGAGCTTCATCTGGTCTCCCACGAGGGTGCAGGGGCCTAAGCCCTTGGGCCATCCTCAGCTGCATTCTCAGACACATCAGCAGAGAGCTGGATTGGAAGTGGAGCAACCAGGACTCAAACTGGTGCCCATATGGGATGCCGGCACTGCAGGCGGCGGCTTTACCTGCTATGTCACACGCTAGCCCCAACATAGTAAGATTTTAAATGCTTAGTACTCAGAAACTTAACATCTTCCAGACTCTGACACCACGATGATCCCATAAGTAAATAGATATTACATGCCCCTTATGTCTATAGTTGTTAGATTGTTGTCTGTTTATGGTGGTCTTCAGAAATAATATTCAATGTAGTTTAAAAAGCATAAAAACATTTGCCAGTTATACTAACTAGGTCAAGATTAGTTTCCTTACCTGAAAAACAATAATAAAAGCACCTATCTCACTGTGTTGTTGGAAGCATTAAATTAATTAACACACTTAAATAAATAAGTTTTAATGGCAGAGTGACACAAAAAGAGGAGAGAGAGGGAGAGAGGTTATCTTCCATCCGCTGAATCATTTCCCAAATGGCTGCAATAGCCAGGGATGGACCTGGCCTTTTTTTTTTTTTTTTTTTAAGATTTATTTATTTATTTGAAAGGCAGAATTAGAGAGACAGAGAGAGAGAGAGAGGTCTTCCATGTGATGGTTCACTCCCCAAATGGCTGCAACGGCCAGAGCTGAGCCAGTTCGAACCTAGGAGCCAGGAGCTTCTTCCGGGTCTCCCACAGGGTGCAGGGGTCCAAGGACTTGGGCCATCTTCTACTGCTTTCCCAGGCCATAGCAGAGAGCTGGGTGGGAAGTGGAGAAGCCAAGCCTCGAACCGGCACCCATATTGGATGCCAGCACCGCTGTGCCACAGCGCCAGCCTCAGAACTGAGAGATCTGGAAAGCTGTAGCCCATCCTCTGCTGCTTTCCTAGCACATTAGTGGGGGAGCTGGATCTGAATTGGAACAGCCAGGAATCGAACTGACACTCACATGGGATGTTGGCATTGCAGATGGTGGAATAATCCATTGTGCCATAGCACTGGCCCCTGAATACATAAATCTTAACAAAGTTAAATTGTATAATTTTTTTTCAAAAACCTATTTATTTATTTGAAAGTCAGAGTTATACAGAGAGAGAAGGAGAAGCAGAGAGATAGAAAGAGGTCCTCCATCTGCTGGCCCCAAATGGCTGCAATGGCCAGAGTTAGGCTGATCCGAAGCCAGGACATTTTTCCGGGTCTCCTACATGGGTGCAGGGGCCCAAGGACTTGGGCCATATTCCACTGCCTTCCAAGGTGACAGTAGAGAGCTGGTGGGAAGTGGAGTAGCTGGAACTTGAACCAGTGCCCACATGGGATGCTGGCACTGCAGGTGGCGGCTTTACCCACTATGCCACAGTGCTGGCACCAAATTGTATAATTTTTAAGAGAATTATTTTGGTTATAAAGAAACCAAGTTATCTTTGTCCCTCCCTGTCATTCTGCCTTTCAAATAAATAAATCTTTAAAAAAGAAATCAATTTATATAGAAATATACAGTATAAAAATTGAAAGTCTCCTATTTATATTGCCACCTTTATTTCTACTCTCTCACCTGGAAACAGTTTTGGTTAACAATCTTTTGGGACACTTTTCTACATATATATATATAATTATATTTTATTGTAAAAATAAATGGGGTAATTTTATTTTCTATACTTAACAATATATTTAAATTTCTTTCCCTATCAGAATATGCACCTTATTATTTTTAACAGCCATGTCGTATTTCATAGTGTCACAGTTCATATAACCATTCTTCTATTTTAAAATATGCTTTTCAAAAATTCGGCAAATTTACATTTCTCTTTTGCCTATTTCCCAGTTTTAGTCAATTTTGAGTCTTTTTTTTTTCTTTTTAAAAATTTATTATTTATTTGAAAGGCAAAGTTACAGGGGAGAGAAGAGAGAGTTCTTCCATCTGCTGGTTCACTCCCCAAACGCTGAAGCCAGGAGCCAGGAGCTTCTTTCAGGTCTCCCACGTGGGTACAGGGACCCAAGCACTTGGGCCATCTTCCACTGCTTTTCCAGGCACGTTAGCAGGTAGCTGGATCAGAAGTGGAGCAGCTGGGACATGAACTGGCACCTGTGTGGGATGCAGGTGTCACAGGCGGTGGCTTAACCTGCTGTGCCATGACACTGGCTCCTCAATTTTTATTCTTTTTTTTTTTAAAGGCAGAGTGAGACAGTGAAAGAGAGAGAGAGACAGAGAAAAAGGTCTTCCTTCCGTTGGTTTACCCCACAAATGGCCGCTATGGCCGGTGCGCTGTGCCAATCTGAAGCCAAGAGCCAGGTGCTTCTCCTGGTCTCCCAGGCGGGTGCAGGGCTCAAGCACTTGGGCCATCCTCCACTGCCTTCCCGGGCCACAGCAGAGAGCTGGACAGGAAGAGGAGCAACCGGGACAGAATCCGGCGCCCCAACCGGGACCAGAACCCAGAGTACCAGCTCCGGAGGCGGAGGATTAGCCTAGTGAGCCGAGGCGCAGGCCAATTTTTATTCTTAATTGTGCATCTGAGTGCCTGTGACTTTGAACACTGTCCCCAAGTGTCTGTTTATTGAGTTAGCACCTTCAGCCGTATGTCTGGATTCCCCGCGATTCGAGAGTTTCTTTCTGGGTCGCAGTACGTGTCCCCCTCTTCAGTTTCCAAATGTTTCTCCACAATAGTAGTACATTTCTATCTCTGTTCTGACAGTAGTCAGAATTACCAAACAAGACTTCCTTTCATTAAAACATTTAAAAAATTTACTTGAGAGGCAGAGAGAGCGAGCGAGCAGGAGAGAGACGGAGAGGAAGGGAGAGGGAGCTCTCCATTGCTGGTTCACTCTCCGAATGCCTGCAATGCCTGCCCCTCTCCCCTGCAGGGACCAAAGCTGGGAGTCAAGAGCTCCACGCAGGTCTCCCACGCGGATGGCAGGAGCCCAGTCACTTGGGCCATCTCTGCTACCTCCTTCATGCTCCAGGAAGCTACGGGAAGGAGCTGCAAGTGGGCGCTCTGCTGTGAGAGGCTGGCACCGTAAATGTAAAGCCGTGATGATGACCATGACCTACAAGGAAAAGGCAAATGCGCTCATAATAAACTAACAGAGAACTCCCGAGAGGGAAACAGAAAAAATAAAAACAAGCCAAAGGGAAAATTTAGATCTTAAAAAAATAGTGTTTGAAATTAAAAAAAAAAAACAATGGATGAACTTAATAGTAGAATGTAGAGGAATAAGCAGTGAATTTGTAGAGGAGAGGAAAAAATATTGAAAAAATTCACAGCCCAGGGCCACATGGAGCCCCAGCGAAGGTGTAACTTAAAGTTCAGAGTTTCAGAAGATGGACAGCAAAGGAGGCAGAAGAAATAGCTGAAGAAGAAGTATCTGACGTTTCCCCAAATATAGTAAAAAATATACATTTATGAAGAGGCTTAATGAACCCCGCACTAAATAAATAGAAACAAAGTACGCATGTCCCAATCAAGGAAAGATGCGGAGAACACTTCGAATGCAGCCAGGGATGGCCAGGGTAGGAGAACCCTCCGATGGCCACAGTCTTCCCATCAGAAAGGCACAGGAAACCGTAAAGCTGCCTGGACGGACGCAAAACAGGAAGTACTTCCCTGAAGTTTTTGAAGACACACAGGTCTCTTTAAAACTGTCACCCTTTCCTGCGGGGCTTTGGCGTTTACTTGTAAGCGTAAAGGAAATTGGCAGGTTAGCAGGCGGTGGCGCCGGCAAAGGGACGGAGAGTCCCAAGCGCGGACCCAGGCGTCCAGACGCTGCCTTCTCCGAGGAGATCCGACCTGGCTCGGCCTGGTGCTGACTCCCCACCCTTGCTTCCGCCTCATTTGGGCCGCGACTTTGGCTTCTGCCGAATACTTCGGCTCGGTATCTCCGTTTAGCATCCACCCAGACATAGTCTAACAATTCTCACGGTCTCCCCTGGCTCCCTGCCCTGGTTCCTCCCGACTTTCTCCTTCTGATGGCGGCTCAACACTTGAGAGACCCGGGCACACTGGAGAAGGAGCCAGTGGACAGGAAGACAGCGGAGATTCTGGACAGAGAAGAAACAGCAGACACAGGGGCTGGCTTAAATACATTCTTGCAGCAGACTCTGAGACCAAATGTCCACAAGATGGCGATGTTTCCTATGAGATTAATACAAGTAGTCGGGTGTTGAAGGGGTTTCTCTTAAGTGTTTTTTTTTTTTTTTTTTTTCCTACTAAAAAGTCAGGCATTAAGGGCAATAAGAGAGAGAGAGAGGGGAGAGGCAATATCCCATGTGCTAGTTCACTCCCCAAATACCAGCAACGACGGGGACTGTTCCTGGGCTGGGGCCCTGGCCAGAGCCAGAGCAGGGAATGCAACCCAGGTTTCCCCGTGAGGGTGGCAGAAACCAAATCATTTGGGCCATCACTGCTGCCTCCAAGGACTCACATCAGCAGGATGCTGGAGTCGGAAGCTAGCGCCAGTTATCAAACCCAGGCGCTCTGATAGGGGATGCAGGCCTGCTAACCACTAGCATAAGTGCCTACTGTGGCAATGGTTTTTGTTAAAGGCAGGAAGACCAACCTAGGATTTATGCGATTTTTTTTTAAAAAGATTTATTTATTTATTTGAAAGTCAGAGTTACACAAAGACGGGGAGGCAGAGAGAGAGAGAGAGACAGAGAGAGAGAGAAGAGGAGAGGAGAGGAGAGGTCTTTCATCTGCTGGTTCACTCCTTCATTGGCCTCAATGGCCAAAGCTGCGCTGATCTGAAGCCAGGAGCCAGGAGCTTTCTCCAGGTCTCCCTCGTGGGTGCAGGGGCCCAAGGACTTGGGCCTTCCTCCACTTATGCCATTTATTTATTTGTGAATGTTGAACCTCCCTTGCATCTCAGGGATAAATCCCACTTGATCGTCACGCATGATTTCCTTGACATAGTATTGGATTCAGTTTGCTGATACTTTGTTGAAAATTTGTGCTTATCAAGGACATTGGTCCGTAGCTTTCTTTTCCTGTTGCGTCTTTGTGTTTTGGTGTTAGAATGATGCTGGCCTCATAAAAACAGTTTAGCATTGTCTCATCCCTTTCAAGATTTCGGAACAGTAAAGTAGTGGAGTTAGTTCCTCTTCAAATGTTCTGTAGAATCCAGCTGTAATTCTATGAGGGAGCGAGTGGTAGAATGGCGCCCGGGGTTCCAGTAGGCGTTACCCATGGCTGATTTGCCAGTTTTAAGTCTACTTCGGGTTTTAAGTACTTTGTTCTGACAAAGCAGCCACTCCCCTGCAGCGTTTCATGCCCAGGCAGGGTGGCTTCGCTGCTTTGCCGTCAGCAGTCCTGGGTACCCCCACTTCCCAGCGTTTCATGCCCAGGCAGGGTGGCTTCGCTGCTTTGCCGTCAGCAGTCCTGGGTACCCCCACTTCCCAGCGTTTCATGCCCAGGCAGGGTGGCTTCGCTGCTTTGCCGTCAGCAGTCCTGGGTACCCCCACTTCCCAGCATTTCATGCCCAGGCAGGGTGGCTTCGCTGCTTTGCCGTCAGCAGTCCTGGGTACCCCCACCTCCCAGCAGGGTGTCTGGTGCTGTGCTTGGAGGAGTTGCATTGACTCAGATTCCTCTCTCCTCTTTCCCCCTGTTTGCCGGACATTTTTATGTAGATGCGAAGCAGATGACCTGAGGGTCAGCCTATAGGGAAGGGCGCAGGCTCTCGGTCACAGCCTCACTTTCAGGCTGCTTCAGATACTGACAGAGCCAGCCGGCCCGCCGCTCCCAAGGGGATTCGGCGCCCTGGATTTACTCGGGTCAGCCAGGCCACTTGGGAATAGCTCCTGTCTACACAGGACAAAATCCGTGATCTTCGAAGTTCATCCTTTTCAGAGAGTAAGCAGATGGGGACGGAGCAGTCCCAGGCATGCTGCACGGTACCTGAGTCTGAGGGTCAGAGGCTCTGCCCCTTCTGACCCCCAGCCCGGGAGAGCAGATAGCTCCTTCCCTCCTTCCTCTTTCCCTTCCTCCCTCCCTCCCTCCCTCCCTCCCTCCCTCCCTCCCTTCCTTTTTTTTTTTTTTTTTAAAGATTTATTTATTGTTTTGAAAAAGTTACACAGAGAGAGGTGAGGGAGAGGGAGAGAGAGAGAGAGAGCGCGCGCTCTTCCATCAGCTGGTTCACTCCCCAGTTGGCCGCAACGGCCGGAGCTGTGCCGAGCCGAGCTGCTTCCTCCAGGTCTCCCATGTGGGTGCAGGGGCCCAAGGACTTGGGCCATCTTCTACTGCTTTCCCAGGCCACAGCAGAGAGCTGGATCGGAAGAGGAGCAGCTGAGACTAGAACCGGTGCCCATATGGGATGTCAGTGTTTCAGGCCAGGGCGTTAACCTGCTTTTCGGAGAGACTTGCAGCCTCTGGATACCCTCACCTCTCAGCTCCTTGCCTGTGAGCCTGGGCTTTTGGCTTGAGGTGTGGAAAGTAAAGCTATTCATTTAAAATGTGTTTTTCAGTGCAGGGTTGCATCCATATTAGGTTATTTAAAAAGCTTTGGTGGGTTTCTTTCTTTACAAAGTATTCATTTTTCTGACTATAAGTATAATGAAACTTCACTGGAGATAGCTACAGAATACTAAAATTGATGAAAAATAAAAATGTTTAATTTCACCCATCATACATAAACTGTATTTCCTTAAAGATTTTTTAGAAATGAAAAACCTGGGGCTGGCTCTGTGGTGTGGCATGTAAGGCCTCCGCCTGTGGTGCCGGCATCCCATATGTGCCCTGGCTGCTCCACTTCTGATCCACTGCCATTTGGGGAGTGAGCTAGCGGATGGAAGATCTATTTCTCTAGATCTCTCTCTCTAGTTCTCTATCTCTCTCTCTCTCTCTGTAACTGCCTTTCAAATAAATAAATTTTTTTTAAAAAACAGGAAAGCCTTTTTTATTAGAATAGTTTTTTATAAATAAAAAAGTTTACTTATTTATTTGAAAGGCAGATCACGAGAGAGAGAGAGAGAGAGAGAGAGAGAGAGAGAGAGAGATATCTTTGATCTGCTGGTTTACTCCCCAAATGCCTGCAACAACCAGGGCTGGGCCGGGCTGAAAGCCAGAGTCTAGGAACTCTGTCTACATCTCCCTTGTGGGTGGCAGGGACTCAGGTACTCGAGCCATCAGTGCTGCCTTCTGGGGCGTGGCCTTAGCAGCGATGCTGCACCAGAAGCAGAGCTTCCGCCGGAACCCAGGCACTCCAGTTTGGGGTGTGGGCATCTCACAAGGCAGCTTTGCCTCTGCCATGTTTCCTGCCCCTCCCTTGCGACTCTTTAAGTGTGCCTTTTCCTTTACATTCTTGGAGGGCGGGTGACAGCTGTTCCACTTGCCTTACGACGAGAGCCCACTTTGCTTACTTACCTCCCCTCTCCTCCTCCTCTCTCTGTCTGACACAAGTTCAGCCCGTCTTTTAGCAATCATATCTGCCTGTTAAAGAAAGAGACATTTCAACATTTCAATAGCTAATGTAGAAAGGATTTTCTTTTCTGACAAAAATCACTTTCTACATGTTTGTAAACTTTTTTTTCCAAAGTGGGAGTCATATTTGGGTGGAAGACAGGTGCACATCCTAGGAAAGCACGTGATGGTGGTGGTGGCGACTGCGTTGGTGCATCCTTGTCTCTTGGGCCCTTGGTTGGCTATTCCTCTCCAGAGGGATGAACAGCGCTCTGATATGGGATGCTGGCGTCGCAGGCAGCAGCTTAACCTGCTGTGTGCCACAATGCCAGCCCCAGAAAATAGACCTGGGAGATGCTCACGGACCTGGCATATGGATTCTGTAAATTTATCTGTTTTGTTTTCAGCTTCTTTTCATTTGAAAGGCAGAGAGAGAGAGAGAGAGAGAGCGAGCTCCCATCTTTTGGCTCACCCCCTAATGCCCACAACAGCGAGAGCTGGACCAGGCTGAAGCCAGGAGCCTGGAACTCAATCTAGGTAACTCGTGTGGGTGGCAGGGACCCAGGCACTTGAGCCATCACCCAGGGTGTGCAGTAGCAGCTGGATTGGGAGTAGAGTAGCTGGGACTTGAACCAGGCTCTCTGATATGGAATGTGGGTTTCTCAAGAGGTAACTTAACTGCCACATCAAACATCCACCTTGACACTGTCAGTCTAATGCAGTGGATCCTTTATATGTCCCCAAGGTTTGCATAAAAACTAATGAGCTCCCTTCAGGTTTGGGGTCTGATTAGCTTAGGCCTCTGTAAATAAGAGGGGCCTTTAAATACTCAATACTCATGAAACACACATTCTGAGTCTACAAGTTTAATTATTGTGCATCTGCCAGCACTATGCACTGTAATTAATACATATATAGTTTTATGTTGAGAAATATCTGCAAGGCAGGTGGTGTTATCTCACTCTACAGGTGAGTTAAGAGAAATTCAAAGGACTTCACTCCTATGTCACACAGCGGGCATGAGGCTAGCTTATGAAACTCCAGGTTAGGAAATGGAAAGGCGTATGGCGTGCCAGCTGCTGCAGACAAGTTGTGTGTTTGTTTCCACCGAGAAATACAGTTAGGAACAGGATGCAGAGCTCAGACCTTATTGGGGTGCCTTGGTCAAGTGGATGCTTAGGGAAATTAGCCTGGAACATGGTGCAGGGATGGCCTCCCTCCAGGGGTGAAGCCACAGGGGTGTGAAAGGGAAGGAGCAGGTGCACAAGGCTGTGGCTTGGCTCCTGAAACCTGCTGCCCTCCTGCTGCAGGCCCCTGAGGTTCTAAGCCTGCGGCATAGGCAGTGCTCTGCCCCTCTGCTCCTGTGTCTCTCACAGGGAAGTGGGGGTCCTACCACTGTGTTGTCTTTGCCTGGGAGAGGCAAGCATGGGTGTGTACATCATCACAAAAGTCTCAAGTCATTCTTAACTCTCATGATAAACAGTCTTCGTGTTGGATGGCGATGTTGTCACGCTTACTGTGGCATCTAACCAGAAAGTTACGTTTTTGAGAAGCCCACTTTACAATCTAACTGCATGCCCAGCAGGTTTGCTTCCATTCGTTTGTGCTGGATACACACCCTGATTTTTGCCTTCATGTCCTTGATGAGTTTTTTCCTTTCTAATTTCTTCTGTTGTTTCAGTTTCCACTTTTTAATTTGGGAAGGAAGGAGGCGATCAGAAATATCTTGATCATCAACTTGTATGAAAACCGCAGCATCTGGGAAAAATCCGTGTTCCCCAAGAAACTGGGCCTCTTCTAGATAGCGTGGGAAACCGTCGAGTATGAAGCCTGTAGAACTAGGTGGACATTTCATTATTTACTTTATTTTATTTAAAATATCTCATCATAAATGGCTCTAAGAATGTAAAAGTTGATGAATCTCAATGATGTATAATGAAAAATTTCAAAAGTTTACTGTGGTAACTTCAATTTTCCAATAGTATACAAGGTATTTCTCCTCTCAAATATACCAAATTGTATTAAATGTATAATATTTTACATCTATATTATAATACAAGTGTACTTCAAAAAGTTCATGGAAAATGGAATTAAAAGGTAAACTTCTTTCGGTGCAAAAAAGTCACCAAGTGAGATGGTTTTATTCTTCAAAAGGTTCATGGAAAATGTGTATCCTGAAGAAACTATGTCTGGATTTCAACAATATTTGGCAGCAAACATATCTTCACACACTTGATCTTAGCCAAAAGGCCAAGAAGTGATATCTTTTCATTGCATTTCCATAAACGTTTTGAGTTCTCCTCCGAGTAAGGACATCCTAATAGATACAGGACAGTCATTTCTCCTGTCTCCACTGTGGCTTTTCTGGGCGACTTCCAAGTCTTCACCTCTACACCCAACCTCTCTTCAGAGTTTTCATTTAGAATTTCCAAAAAGCTGCTTGTTTTCCCCATTGAATGCCCTTCAGGAATGAAGGGTGCATTGTACTATCAAAAATCACACACACACCGTTACCCCTCCAACTGCTCTTCCTTCTAACTCTTCCTTCTAACTTTTTCTGATCATAAAAACAATCAATCTCACTATAGAAAAATACAAAAGTAGAGGAAAACAATGAAAAGGTAAAATTATCCATAATCTCATAACCCAGAGATCACCAGCATTTGTTTTATTTATTTCTAGTTTATTCCTCTTGTATCCATCTCTTTATCATATTATAAATAGTTTGCAACTTTTAAGATATAACTAAAAAGCTAGTTAAAATTATTAAACATTGTACATATTTATGAGATTATTATGTAATGTTTCAAAACTCATATACTTTGCATAATGTCCAATCATGGTACACATATATTTATTTCCTCATTTATAATTTTTTAAGTGAAAAGATTCAAATCCATTCTTCCAGTTTTTAGGTTGGAAAAATTTACAGCCCACTATCTTTATCTATAGTTACCCTACTGCATGACAGAACATCAGAACTAACTCCTAGCTAGCTATAGTCAGTACTCAACCTGCAGCTTCTTCTTCTTTTTTAAAGCTTTAGTTATTTTGAAGGTCAGAGATCTAGAGAGAGAGGAAGAGAGAGAGAGAGAGAGAGAGATCTTCCATCTGCTGGTTCACTTCCCAAATGGCCACATGGGCCAGGGCTGAGCCAGGCCGAAGCCAGGAAGCAGGAGCCTCATCCATGTCTCTCACGTGGGTGCAGGGGCCCGAGCAGTTGGGCCATCTTCTGCTGCTTTCCCAAGTGCATTAGCAGGGAGCTGGATTGGAAGTAGGGCAGCTAGGACCAGAACCAGCCCTCATACGGGATGCCAGCATCACAGGCAGTGGCTTTACCTGCTACTCCACAACCCTGCGCCTGCACCTTCTTCTTGAATCCAACATTATATAATAACATTTTCATGCTATTATAAAGTCTTCATTATAATACATCTTAATGGTTGCGTAATATTCAGCTATTTTATTTAGGCTTTAGCAGCTTCATTTTTTAACTTCAACTTCTTTGATCCCTATCCGTATTTATCTACATAAATGCTTATAGGTATCTATCTAGATACATGTTTCAGTAAATAAATACATATCTCACTAAATTAATGAACCCACTCATGGTTATATAGCTGCAGGTCACCTGAGTTTCTGACAATTATTAATTTCATTTAGGAAACAAGAAATTAAAATAAAAGAAGTTGATGACTAATAATGAATCCCACTCAGCTGTTTCAGCCATGGACTAGGTGAGAGAGTGTGTCCAGACCCCTCAGAGGGCCCCGGGAGTGGCCGGTTATCTAACTTCTCTATGGTTCAGTTTCCTTTTGTGCACTCAGTAAGTTCCATATATGTGTGTACTAAAATCAGTATTGTAAATACCATTTCTTTTTTTTCTTTTTCTTTTTTTGACAGCAGAGTGGACAGTGAGAGAGAGAGAGAGAGAGGTCAATACCATTTCACTTTGGTCTGGTGGATATTGAGGCGAGAGACTCTGGTTAGGCAACCGAAGTGACGTTTTAAACTCTGGGTGGCCTGGAGATTTGCCCTGGTTGGGCTGGGGCGTAGTTTATTTTTATTTATTTTTATTTATTTATTTATTTATTTTTTAATTTGACAGGTAGAGTTATAGACAGTGAGAGAGACAGAGAGAAAGGTCTTCCTTCCGTTGGTTTACTCCCCTAATGGCTGCCATGGCCTGCACGCTGCACCGATCCAAAGCCAGGAGCCAGGTGCTTCTCCTGGTCTCCCATGGGGTACAGGGCCCAAGCACTTGGGCCATCCTCCACTGCACTCCCGGGCCACAGCAGAGAGCTGGCCTGGAAGAGGAGAATCCAGTGCCCCAAGTGGGACAAGACCCCGGGGTGCCAGCGGAGGCGGAGGATTAGCCTAGTGAGCCGTGGCGCCGGCCTGGGGAGTAATCTTAACCGTAATTGTTAAGTGGCTGCAGGGGAAAGAGTCCAGCGCTTGACTGGGTACATGGGTTAGAACTTGGGTTCTCCAGCACGACTGTGTATCAGAATCACTGGGGAGCACTGAAATACCAGCACTGGGGCCCAGTCTCCTATTCCTAGAGTCTTTTTTTTTTTTGACTTGAGAGGGAGAGGGAGTTGGGGAGAGGGTAGGGTAGGAAGGAGGGAGGGAGGGGGAGAGAGAGAGAGGGAGGGAGGGAGGGAGGGAGAGAGGGAGAGAGAGAGAGGGAGGGAGGGAGAGAGAGAACAAGCACCAGAGCTCCCAGCAGCTGACTTCTCTGCTACAGCTGGGGCTGGGCTGGAGCCAGGGAAGCAGGAACCCAATCCAGGTCTCCCAAGTGGGCGGCAGGAACTCGACTGCTCGAGCCATCACTGCTGTCTCTCAGGGTGTGCACTGGTGGCAAGCTGGAGTCGGCGGCCAGAACCTGGAATCGAACCTAGGCACACTGGCATCTGAGCAGCTAGGCCAAAAGCCTCCTACTACTCCCGCAAGAGCTTCTGATCCAGTTGTTGTGGGGTAAGACGCTGACCTCAATGTTTTTTAAAAACTCCACAGATATTTTTAATGTGTAGCTCAAGGGAGAATCGCTAATTTACATGAAGGTAAAGGGAAAATTGTTAAACTTGAACAATATTTTTGCCTTTAAGAATAAAGCAGAGGTTGGCGCCGCGGCTCACTAGGCTAATCCTCCGCTTTGCGGCACCAGCACACCGGGTTCTAGTCCTGGTCGGGGCGCCGGATTCTGTCCCAGTTGCCCCTCTTCCAGGCCAGCTCCCTGCTGTGGCCAGGGAGTGCAGTGGAGGATGGCCCAAGTGCTTGGGCCCTGCACCCCATGGGAGACCAGGAGAAGCACCTGGATCCTGCCTTCAGATCAGCGCGGTGCGCTGGCCGCAGCGCGCCTGCCACTGTGGCCACTGGAGGGTGAACCAATGGCAAAAGGAAGACCTTTCTCTCTGTCTCTCTCTCTCACTATCCACTCTGCCTGTTAAAAAAAAAAAAAAAAAAGGCAGAAAAAGGCAGTATGTATATAATCCTGTATAAAGTAAGATACCGTATAGGTTCCTTAAACCACCATTCGGAAAGAATTGCTTCAAGAATTTCAGAAGGCAACGGCTCATTTTCCATTAGGCTTGTTTTGATTGCTTCTTCTTCTTCTGTAAGGTGTATGTCAGGAGGCTGGAAACAAAAATCAAAGTAAAACTACTTTCAAAACTCTGTATTAACGAATGATACCATATTGCATGGTGGTTAGGATGAGGCCTACTTGTCTCTGAGGTCATTCTCTGATGCTGTGGCTTGTAAACATTTAAAAACGTGTGAATTCTTTTCTTTAGACCATTACCTAACATGGTTATAAACAGTGAATAATATCTACTATAGCTAAGAGAAGGTACTAGTGATAGCACGATGCATTCTCATACATGGCCTCACGGTCAGATTGTGTCTCATTACTTTTTGCTAAAACCTTGTTAATTTGTCTCAAGGCTTAACTGACTTGCTGTCTATCCTACAATTCTACAACTATCCCCCAGCCTACAGCCTGGTCCGGATATGGGTCAATGCAGATAGACATCTAAAGTACAGTCTCCCTGGGGCTGCTGCATCGTAATAACATAGAAAACATTCTCCTAACCAACCCAGGTCAACGCCACCTGAAGCAGGATTGCCCTTGGATGGACACTAAAACGTAACAGTTCCTTCTAGAACGAAACTATTTTAGGTGAGTGCTTTTTTGTTGTTGTTGTTAAAAAGTCTGAAAATGAGTAAGGTCTGATGAAATGCTGCTTATCAGGAAGTAGGATTTCATTATCTGCAAATAAAATCCTATCATAGGCCTCCTGAGAAGCCAAATAGTTCACAAAACAGCCAAAGAAAACCAAACGGCAACAAAAAGCAGCAAGTATTTTGTTGCCTTAGGAGATCCAGACCCGTTCAATTTACAAGTCCGGATTCATGTGTGCTTTGTAAGCTGGTAGAGTGTCAGTTTCTCCCTATCTCTACCCAGCATGGATGGGAAACAATTACAGAGTATGTCTGCAGGGGTGCCGCAATGCTTACTGGGACACCGTGTGTCTCTGTTCAGCCGGGGTCCAACCTTCATCACACTTAACTCCTTGGGGCCACCGACTCGAGGTCACTTGAGAATCAGATGGCTTTGCCTCATCAGAAATGGTTAAAAAGAGAATTAGGATTAAGAACTTATTATTTTTACAACTCAAGATCGAAACCATCTAAGAGACACAAACTTTCTCATGAGGCATACTTAGAAATTAATCTTTTGAGATCCTCACTGGCATTAGGACAGATTTTTATGCTGTCTGATGGCAAACAGAGAACAAAACAATGGAGAGACTTGAGAGTCCAGGTCAGATATAGAATAACGGGACTCCCACGTGACTGCTGTGCGACAGTGTTGCCAGGAAACGCTCTCCTGATTTTTACTGGAGTTGGTGCAACTCAGTGCTTTGGGTGCTGTAGGAGCAGGGAGCTCTGTATGTAACACCTGGGGAGAATGACTCATTTGATGGCTTTTATGGGCTAATGGCTTCCTCTTCTTACTGGAGTTCTGAGGGACGCCCCCCATCACCTGCTGCTTTGTTTTTTCTTCCTCGATGGTGACATTGGCCTGCATCGCCAGCTCCTCCAGCTCCTGTTTTGCAGCTTGCTCCTCCTCCAAATCTTCCTCAAATTCAGGTCCCACTCTTTTTTCGATTTTGAGCAGCAGTTTCTCTTGAAGAACTTCGTCAAACTGGATGTGGAAGAGGCCGAATTTCTCTGCTGCCTGCCTGCCACACACAGTCTTGCCGGCGCCTCGGGGGCCCAGGAGGCAGATTCTCAACGGAGGGGCCTGCCAGGGTGCAGCGGGGTGCGGAGGCCGGGGGTGGGTGGGGGGAGAGGGCGGGAGACAGGGGTGCAATGGTTAGAACACCTCCGGCTTTTTCGCTGCTCTGCCTAAGGCTGGGAGCGAGGAGCCCTGGGCCAGCTCAGGGAGGTATGAGCAGGGGTCAGCGCCACTGCATTGGGGGTGGTCCTCAGGGTGCAACCCACCCAGGTCAGCTGGATCTGTCGCGCGGCCGGCCGCCGACATCTCATTCCATTAGTTCTTTTAAAATTAACTGTGGTCAACAGGGAAAAGAATGGGAAGACACTTTCCTGGTGGGCGTTTAAAGCGCCCTCCGCCAGACGAACTCCGTAGTCACCGCCTGCCATTCTGCCTTCCTGTAGCTGGGAACTCCCACACCGCAGGGAGCACCCCTGGATGCAGAAATCAGGCATGTTTTATTTCCAGAAATGAATAAAATGCCATTTGGAAAATTCTGGCAAGACAGACACAGCATAAAATTTACCATTAAGACCATTTTTAATTTAAGTGTATGATCCAATGGCATTAAATACATTCAGAATGTCGTGTACCCATCATCATTATCCAGCCCCAGAACTTTCTCATCAGCCTAGCCTGGGACTTAACCTGCACTCATTGTTAAACAACAACTCTAGGGGCAGCATTGTGGTGGAGCTGTTGAAACCTCTGCCATACCGGCGCCGATTCCATTCCAGCTGCTCCACTTCTGATCCAGCTTCCTGCTAATGGCCTGGGAAAAGCAATGGAAGACAGCCCAAATGTTTGGGCCCCTGCCATCCATGTGGTAGATCTGGCAGAAGCTCCTGGCTTCAGCCTGGTTAAATCTTGGTTGATGCGGCCATCTGGAGAGTGAACAAGTAGATGGAAGATCTCTGTCTCTCTTTCTGTAATTCTGACTTTCAAATAAATAGGTAAAATCTTAAAAAAAAAAAACCTCCTATCCTCCCTCCGTTTGGCCCCTGATAACCACCACTCCATGTTCTATTTCATGAATTTTCCTACTTTAGGTACCTCATATAGTTGTATCTGCTTTTGCGTCTGACTTTAATAAACATTCTTAAAGAGAAGATAGAGAATGGTTCCAAGGGTGACGAACAAGCAAGAATTAGAAACTGTCCCCACGAATGTAGGAAGCAACAGAGTACTCTATAGCTATGTAACAGTACGCACTCCAGCAGCTGTAAACTGGTTCAGTTCATCAGGGACAACTCATCTCAGGCAATGTTTTTTTTGTAATCCAACCAATCAGTGTCAGCCCTTACCCTCGAAAATCAACCAATCAGGGGTGGACTTCCCCTGAAAACCGCCTCTGGCCGTGAACTTGTCAGCAGCAGTCTCAGCTGAGTGGGCTGCGAGTCTTCAGTGGATGCCCACCCACTTGTGTCTCCCGGAGCCTACCGCCCGAGTCCCACACTTCCCCCAGCCTTCACGGCTGTTAGCTGGCTCTTCTTTTGGGGGGAACTAAGGTGGCTGGCCCTTACTACAGGAAGTAACACATTCGGCCGTGTCTTCTTACTTCTGCTAAAAAGTGCTGGTTTGACACAAGCCTTTACTGCAGAAATCAAAGTAGGAATTATGTTATATTCCAAAAGGTTGTTCTTTGAACCCAGACAGCTTTTCACTATGTCGTTATATCCAACTGAGGCTTCATCATTCATGAATAAAATGATGGAGGTTGGTAACAATAAAAACATTATTTTTTTGTTTATTTGAAAGCCAGAGTTAGGAGAGAGAGAGAGAGAAATGGAGCATTCCCTGGTTCACTCCCCAGATGCTCGACTAGGCTGAAGCCAGGGCCAGGAACTCTATCCAGGTCTCCCACATGGTGGCAGGGGCTCAAGCACTTGGGCCGCTTCTGCCGCTTTCCCAGGTGCGTCAGCAGGGAGCTGGATCCGAGGTGGAGCAGCTGGGGCTCCTGTGGGATGCCCGCGCTCTAACACCAGCCCCAGCCATTCCTCTGAAAGCACTCAGGGGCAATGGTCAGGGTGCGACAGTGGTTTCACCTTCAGTGGTTCCTCATGAGCCACGTAGTCCTCAGGGTGCTCCAGGAATTTGTCTTTGGCCTCTGCACTTGAGAAGTAGTAGATCTTTTCTCGATATTTCACTGCTTCTTCCACGTTGCCTGGGTGTAGGACGAAGTTTTCTTTGAGAACCACTGGACAAAAGTGCTTTGTATCTCCCAAATGCCTCTTTTTCTCTTTAATTCTGTCTTCATTCTGGAAATAGCATTCAAAATTGGAAGAATATCATCAGAAAGTATTTTGATAAAACACCACAGAGGAATTAAAAACATTCATCTTGAGTAATATTTAATCTATGACAATACAATGTAATACGCAAAAGGTCAGTCTTTATACTAATTTAATTAGAATATCAATATCTTATATCTTTAAATTCACATCCTCAGTTTTTCTTTACTTTAAAAAAATCACTTATTAAACATTTTGTATTAACATGCAATCCTTTTACATTGGTGTGGATACTGTGCAATATTCCAACACACAGAGCAGTGCTTTGAATTAAAGTGTCCCCAGTGTCTATAGACATAGGTGTACTGAAACCCCCCAGGAGGTCAGTTTGTAAAATAAAATTATTCTAAGAAATAAATGCTGAGTCAGGGTCCAATTTCTTACTCTTTGTGTAATAAATGCCTCAAAGTTTGCTTTGTTTCCTAAAAGTGGCTATAAGATCAAATAATTATTTGAAAATGTTTTATTTAGTTCATTTTTATCTGTGATAAAGAAAATCTGTGTGAATATTTTAAGGATTGTTGTAACTTATTTAAAGCAATGAGAGTCTTTTTTTTTAAATTTTTTTTTATTTTTTGACAGGCAGAGTGGACAGTGAGAGAGAGAGACAGAGAGAAAGGTCTTCCTTTTGCCGTTGGTTCACCCTCCAATGGCCGCCGCGGCCAGCGCGCTGCGGCCGGCGCACCGCGCTGATCCGATGGCAGGAGCCAGGATCCAGGTGCTTTTCCTGGTCTCCCATGGGGTGCAGGGCCCAAGCACTTGGGCCATCCTCCACTGCACTCCCTGGCCACAGCAGGAAGCTGGCCTGGAAGAGGGACAACCGGGACAGAATCCGGTGCCCCAACCGGGACTAGAACCCGGTGTGCCGGCGCCGCTAGGCGGAGGATTAGCCTAGTGAGCCGCGGCGCCGGCCTAGAGTCTATTTTTAAAAATAGTTTTTTATGTTACAAAATGTTACTATAAAATATTCAAAATTTGTGACATTGTGTAAGAGTGAAAATCTCTCAACTTTGTCCTTCCAATATTATGTCAACAAAGCTAACAGTTTTTTTTTAATTTTTTAAAATTTTTATTTATTTGACAGAGTTAGACAGTGAGAGAGACAAAGAAAGATCTTCCTTCCATTGGTTCACTCCCCTAATGGCTGCAATGGCCAGAGTTAGACTGATCCTAAGCCAGGAGCCAGGTGCCTCCTCCTGGTCTCCCATGCGGGTGCAGGGGCCCAAACACTTGGGCCATCCTCCACTGCCATCCCAGGCCACAGCAGAGAGCTGTACTGGAAGAGGAGCAGCTGGGACTAGAACCCGGCGCCCATATGGGATGCCGGCGCTGCAGGTGGAGGATTAACCAAGTGAGCCACGGTGCTGGCCCCCAACATAGGTAACAGTTCCTTCCAGGCCCTGTTTTCCAAGTAATTCTACCAATATACTTCATTTTTTTCTTTTTTTAAAAGATTTTATTTATTTGAGAGGCAGAGTTATAGGCAGTGAGAGGGAGAGACAGAGAGAAAGGTCTTCCTTCCGTTGGTTCACTCCCCAAATGGCCGCAACGGCCGGAGCTGTGCTGATCTGAAGCCAGGAGCCAGGTGCTTCTTCCTGTCTCCCATGCAGGTGCAGGGGCTCAAGCACTTGGGCCATCCTCTACTGCTTTCCCAGGCCATAGCAGAGAGCTGGATTGGAAGAGGAGCAGCAGGGACTAGAACCGGCGCCCATATGGGATGCTGGCGCTGCAGGTGGAGGATTAACTCACTGTGCTATGGCGCCAGCCCCTACCAATATACTTTCAAACAGACATAAATTAGCACAATATATAGTATTGTAAACATACAAATGGGATGTCTTACATAATTATTCTATAAGATACTTTTCATAAAACAAGAAATAATGAACAACTTTCTCTAAAGTTACAAAAATAAGACTATTCTGTACCTTGTACCATTTTTGCTCAATTTTTATGTCAGGGTATTCTAGCTTCAAAATAAGCTGGGAAGCATTGATTTTCTTCTGTGATGTGGAAGGGTTTACACATAGGAATAATCAATGATCAATTATAATTATATTGATAATTATAAATGATCAATCCACTTTAAATTCCCCCTTTATTTTTTCTTGGGGTACTTCTATTTTTCTTGAGCAAATTTTGGTAAATTGTTTTGGGGGTAAAATCCTTTCTATCTTGACTTGCCTTATAATTTAAAAGAATCCTCTTTTAGAAGGAGTTACCTTTCTCTGAAGGGAGGAGAGAACCTCCACTTTGACTATGACCTTGTCTAAACAAGATAAGAATCGGAGAACTCAGAGGGCTTCCATAGCCTTGGAAACTCATGACTGGAGCATAGGGAGATTACTGATGCCATAGACAGGAGTGTCAATTGGTAAAGTCAACAACAGGAGTCACTGTGCACTTACTCCTCATGTAGGATCTCTGTCCTTAATGTGCTGTGCATTGAGATTTAATGCTATAACGAGTACTCAAACAATATATTTCACTTTGTGTTTCTATGGGGGTGCAAACTGTTGAAATCTTTACTTAATGCATACTAAACTGATCCTCTGTAAAAAAAAAAAAAAAGAAATTATCAACTCCCAACTTGACTCTCACTGGGATTAAACATGACAATAGGTCTGATCTGATTTCATCATCATTTAAAAAAAATCATCTATTATTTTTCACCTTATGTTTCTGTGTGGGAGCAAACTGTTGAAATCCTTACTTAATGTATACTAAGCTGATCTTCTGTATATTAAGATAATCGAAAATGAATCTTGATGTGAATGGAAGGGGAGAGGGAGTGGGAAAGGGGAGGGTTGTGGGTGGGAGGGACGGTATGGGGGGGAAGCCATTGTAATCCATAAATCGTACTTTGGAAATTTATATTCATTAAATAAAAGTTAAAAAAAATAAATATGATTGGAAAAAAAAGAATCCTCTTTTAAATCTGATTATATTCATATAATGTTATTTATTGATGCTTTTTTATCTGACTCAGCTTGGCAGAAGTTTATCTATTTTATTGCTCCTGTCAGTAGATCAACATTTTGTAAAATTAGGTCTACTCTTCTTATTTTATCTTGTTTTCCTACTTTGTTATTTTTGCCTTCATCTATTTTTTTTAAAGGACTTATTTTATTTATTTGAAAGGCAGAGCTACAGAGAGAGAGGGAGAGAGAGATCTTCCATCTGCTGGTTCACTCCCCTAATGGCTCCAATAGCTAGGACTGGGCCAGGCTGAAGCTGAGAGCTAGGAACTCCATGTGGGTCTCCTGCATGGGTGCAGGGGCCCAGGTACTTGGGCCATCCTCTGCTGCTTTCTCAGGTGCATTAGCAGGGAGCTGGATCAGAAGTGGAGCAGCCAGGACCTGAATCAATGTCTGGTATGGGATTCAGGCATCACAGGTGGCGGCTTCCTCTGTTCCACAATGCCAGCCTTCTCTTACCCACTTTCTTTGGCTCATTTAGTTGCACTTTTTTCCATGTTCTTGAGTTGTATTCTTATTCTTTCGCAATCTTTCTTGTTTTTCAATAAATGCACATAAAGTAAGGTTGCCAGACTTAGCAAACAAAAACACAGATTCTCCAGTTACATTTGAATTTCAAATAAAAAAATAACTTTTAGTTATTCATTTGTTTTAAATCCAAAATTAACTGGGTGCTATATATTTTATCTGGCAACTCTAAATTTCTACTTCTGCTTTACCACAAAAGTTTTATGTGTGATCTTAAGTTAATGTAGTCACCTAAAGCACTTCAGCAACAGATCTGATCAAAACTCACAAAAAGAGAGAAAGAGAGGGAAAGGAGGGAGAGGAGGGAGAACTGCAGACCAAAAGATCAGCTGGATGGCGCAGACCATAAACCCTGCAACACTTGGCGAGGGGTCCTCCAAAAAGTTCATGGAAGTGCATACTATGGAAAAATCATGCATGTATTTCAAAATTCTTGGCACCAAAATAAATTTATTTTTTAATTCCATTTTTTCCCATGAACGTTTTAAAATACTCTCATATTTTTCCAAGGAAAATTATTTGTTTCATGGGCATATGTTTTCATACTGTCTAAGTAGCCCTGGCATTTCAGGGGGTCAGATGGAGCTGAAGTAGGGGGCAGAGTGTGTGTGAAAATGCTGATTTCTGAGATGAAAATGTTTGTCCAAATGTGACAGCTACCGCCCCAGAGCTGTTCACTGCAATGACTTGCCAAATGAGAACAAGTAGTAATAAAAGAATCCTGCCTCTTCCTCCTCCTCTTCCTCCTCCTCTAGCTCCTCTTCAACTTCGGCTTCGGCCTGATAGTCTTCTGCTTCTTCATCATAATCGTCCACAGTTAACTCCCAGCCAGTGTATTGAAAAGATTCTGTTTAAAAAAGAAGAATCATTGCAGAAAGTAGTTTTAGAGGAAGAAGTTACTAGCATATTGTAGCAGACAAAGGTTAGGAACATTAATTACTATTGTTGATCTCTTGGTTTAGATACGTAATGCAAATAGGCCTTCACAATTCTTTATGGGACTGTTGGTCAGTATGGACAATGCTGTAAGTGGGTCATGGCTCTCTCTTTTGATTGGCCAGATTCTGCACTATCATTTAGTAATTTACAAATTCAACATATCCTTGGATACATCAAATGCTTCACTACATAAACTATCAAGTAAGGTTTTAAAGTTTCAAAATGCCTTTAATACTATGACATGATAAGAAATGTTAGGATGATGGCCCATACTTTCCATAGTCTCAACTACTTTTTGAAGGAGTTCCTTTGGAGTCTTGCTGGCAATGTCTAAGTATAAAATTTGAATGGAAGATTCATGGAACAATGGTTCCAGCTGTTTCCACAGGAAGCTGTAGGAGTTAATTTTCTCTTTGAATGGCTCCATTTCGGGAACATCAGGGTACGCGTCTTCTGGGAACTCTGGTAATACAACTTTTAAGGGAAGAAAAGATAAAAAGAGATGTTAAAATCATATCTCTAGTCTTACTGCCAAAATTATCTATACTTCACAGTATTTGAAAATAGCAGTTAGGATGCTTGTTGGGATACCCAGAGTCCATATTGCAGTGCTTAGTTTGTTTATCAAATTAATTAATTAATTAATTAATTTGAAAGACAGAGTTACAAAGACAGAAGGAGAAACAGAGAGAGAGAGAGAGAGAGAGAGAGAGAGTGAAAGAGAGATCTTCCACCTGCTGGTTCACTCCCCAAATGGCCACCATGGCCAGGGGTGGGCCAGGCTGAAACCAGGAGCCAGGCCTCCCACATCGGTGGCAGGGGCCCAGGGACTTGGGCCATCTTCTGCTGCTTTTCCCAGGCCATTAGCAGGGAGCTGGATGGAAGTGGAGCAATTGGGACTGGAATTGGTGCCTCTTTGGGATGCCTGTGTTGCAGGCAGTGGCTTAAATCTGCTGTGCACAACAGCGGCCCCTGGAGTGCTGAGGTTTGAGTCCTGGCTCTTCTCTTGATTCCTGCTTGCTGCTAATGTGCTCCCAGGGAAGCAGTAGTGATGCCTCATGTAGTCAGTCCCTGCCACCATGTGGGAGACCTAGATTGGGTTCCCTGCTCCCAGCTTTGGCCTGGCCCATCCCTGGCCATTGTGGGCATATGGGAGAGTGAGCCAGTGAATATGAGTTTTGTTTCTGCCTTTTAAAGGAATAAATAATAGGAGAATATTTGAAAGAAGTAAACAATACTCCAAGCAAGAACACACATCCATAAATTCACATTTTAATTATGCTTTCTTCCTTATATTGACTATAGATAAATTATTATTAAATAAACACAAATTATTTGGATAATTAATGAATTTCATAGGGAAACTTTAACTTAAAATTCCTAAAACTATAAAATCAGTATTATAAGCTGGCTAGATACACCTTTAATGGAATAAATTAAGAAGATATAATGTATATCAACTGGCATACAATGTAGAAAAAGAAAATGAAAGCAGGAACTATGCCTGAAATAAGGGATTCAGCCTTTTTAAAGAAAACATGAAGGGGATGAAGCCAAGATGGCGGTATAGGGAGGGAGCTTACTGATAGTCCAGGAGAAGACAGATTAATGAAAGTGAAGATAATATAGTCTCAGAGATGAATTAGGGAAAAAACGGCAGAGAAAACTCTTCCGTAATTAGAGGGACATGGTGGGCCAAGAGTCTCTGCACCAGTGCTGGAAAGAGAAGAGACGAAACCCCAGTAGCCCAACACGCTGGCAGAAAAGCAGCAAGAACCTAGAGGGAACAAGGCTTGAAGCCCCGCGGGGGAAAGTACATGAGCCTAACTAGAGGAGAGAAAAAAATAAAAGGGATGGTATGGACACGATTCTCTCTCTCTCCACTCACCTTACGAGCCTACAAGCCGATAGAGCAGGCGCCATTTTGGACATACATTAACAGCTGCACCAGCTCAGGGCTGTGCCTGGCAGTCAGCCAAACAGAAAAACCTGACTCTGGTGGGGAGTAATAACAGGAGACTAAGACCTAGTGAATGTATGGAGCTTATGAACTGGGACTGTGAAAACAAAACAAAACAAAACAAAACTGAGGGTGTGTGGAAGAACTCATGGTGTGGCTGAGACGTGGGTAGTCTTGGTGGGAGATGCCACAAGCTTGGGCAGCCCTGGCTACCCGGTGAGAGACACAGCAGGGGAATCTGAGATCTGAGCTTACACTGAGGACTGCACAGATCCTTTGTGTGGTCCTTAGGACAGAGCAGACGAATATTATAGCCACTGGGGCTAGCGCTCAGGCACTGATTGCCATCGAGAAGAGCTCAGCTGAGTGGAACTACTTCCCTTCTGATTAAAGAGAGAGATTAAGGTCAGAGTTTGTGAACTCAAGAGGCTTCCACAGCCTTGGCAACTCATGATAAGAGCCTTGGGTGATTACTGACATCATAAATAAGAGTATCAATTGTTAAATCAACAACGGGAGTCACTGTACACTTGCTCCCCATGTAGGATCTCTGTCCTTAATGTGTTGTACTATATAATTAACAGTAAAACTACTACTCAAACAGTACTTTATACTTTGTGTATCTGTGTGGGTGCAAACTGTTGAGATCTTTACTTAGTATATACCAAGTTGATCTTCTGTATATAAAGATAATTGAAAATGAATCTTGAGAGGAATGGGATGGGAGATGGGATGGTTGCAGGTGGGAGGGAGGTTATGGGGGGGAAGCCGCTATAATCCAAAAGTTGTACTTTTGAAATTTATATTTATTAAATAAAAGTTTTAAAAAAAGAAAACATGAAAAACACTTCTAGGTACTATCTACTTTAAAAAGCAATTTTTAAGCTAACAATAATTGTACTTATTTAAGAGACACAGACACATGCATCTAATCTGTACTGATCAAATCAGGGTAAAGAGCATATCCCCCTTTTGACATTACTTTATGAACTTCTTTTAAGAGTCTGACCTGTTTCACCTAATTCCTCCATCTCCAGGCTCTCTTTGGATTTTTTTGGAATTTGTTTTTCAACTGTAGCATCCTCAGTACGCTTGGAGACTTAAGAAAGAAATCTTGTGGTTAACATTTGGATTTTAAAACATTGTTCTATGAAAGTTTTGGTGCAAAGAAAATTTCAAAACATAGCTTAAACTGTTTATAGCATGAGGGTAATTCAACTTTTATGGAAAAGTGGAAGGAAATGTTGTTTATTTTGGTTTGGTTTAAAGAAAATTTTGTAACAGTTTAAATTGTATATAGTGTGAGGGTAATTCAAAAGTTTCATAGAAAAATGGACTGAAACATTAACTTTCTCTTGGTGCAAAAACATTTTGAAGGGCAGGTATTGTGGCAGAGTGGGTTAAGTGGCTGCTTGTACACCTGCATCCCATATCGGAACCTTGCTTCAAGTTCCTGCTGCTCCACTTCCAACCCAGCTCCCTGCTAATGTGCCTGAGAAGGCAGAAAATGATGGCCCAAGTGCTTGGGTACCTGCTACTCATGTGGGAGACCCAGATGGAGCTCCCGGATCCTGGCTGCAGATTGGTTCAGCCCCAGCTGTTGCGGGCATTTGGTGAATGAACTAATGGAAGGAAGATCTCTCTATGTAATTCTGCCTTTTTTTTTTTTAATTTTTAAAGGTTTATTTATTTGAAAGGCAGAGTTATACAGAGGCAGAAGCAGAGAGAGAGAGAGAGAGAGAGAGAGAGATCTTCCATCTGCTGGATCACTCCCCAAATGGCTGCAACAGCTGAAGCTGAGCAGAACTGAAGCCAGCAGCCAGGAACTTCCTCCGGGTCTCCCACATGGGTGCAGGGGCCCAAGGACTTGAGCCATCTTCTGCCTTCCCAGGCCATAGCAGAGAGCTGGATCGGAAGTGGAGCAGCCAGGACTTGAACTGGTGCTCATATGGGATGCTGGTTCTGCAGGTGGTTGCTTTACTTGCTATGCCACAACTCTGGCCCCTGTAACTCTGCATTTCAAATAAATACATATTCAAATTTTTTTGAAATCCATGCATACTTTTTTAATAATAGGCATTTTCCATGAACTCTTTAAAGAGCTTTCATTTCATGGACATGGAAAAGCTAACTAACTTGATTTCATCATCACATATTGAATACATGCATTGAATTATCATACTGTACTCCATAAATATGTATAATTAAAATAATAATGAGGCCAATGTTGTGGCATAGCAGATAAAGCTGCTGCCTGTGACACTGGTATCCTATATGGGCACCAGCTTATGTTTCAGCTGATTCCACTCCACTTCTGACCCAGCTCCCTGGTAATGGCCTGGGAAAAGCAGCAGAAGATGGCCCAAGTGCTTGGGCCCCTGCACCCATGTGGGAGACCTGGATAAAGCTCCTGGCTCCTGGCTTCAGCGTGGCCAAGCACAGGCTGTTGTGGCCATTTGGGGAGTGAACCAGTGGATGGAGGATCTCTGTCTCTGTCTCTCTCTCTGTAACTGTTACTTTCAAAGTAAATAAATAAATAAGTCTTAAAATAATAATAAAAAACCCCTTTATCTTGTAATTCCATTTTCTACAAATTTTTTGAAGTACCCTTGTGTGTCTAATCGAAAACACAGTTCTTTTTAGGTAATGTACAGCATAAAAAATATAACAAGGCAGAAATAAAGAATATTCTTAAGTATTATAAAGGACATTTGCCAGAATAATTAATTGACATACAGTACACACAATTCTGGTTGATAATGATTGTGTAATATTATTCAAACTTCTGTTGAAATGGCAACAGACTACCAGTGCCTGACACTGCTTTCAATTTCTCTCTGAAACACCCATGAAGCTCCACCCAAGCGCCTCAACGTGGCAATGGGAGCTGACACTGGCCAGTCCCAGCGGGGGGCCTCGGCATGGAGAAAGCGGAATGAATCCTAGTTAATGGCAGCGCTGACTGTCCAGCCGGAAACCATCCTCGTGGAGGATATAAGGCATGCTTCACATGACTGCTCTGATCAGACGCGTGTTGAATGTCACACTGCACACCATAAATGTGTATGATTATTGCTGGAAAAAAAAAGACGTGCTTCCCATATGGATCCCAAGTAAATGGCTTCAGTGAAGGCAGGACTAATCATTTATCACTTATCCTTCCCTGCCCCGCCCCTGCAGTGTGCGCCCCGTTCTGAGACAAAAGTTGTACAGAGACAACACACACACACACACACACACACACACACAAACACCATATATACAGCCATTCTGTAACATTGTGGAAACCGCCTTCTACACTTGCTGAAGTAATACTTGGGTTCTCTTTCAGCAGGATCTATAATGTTGGATACTCCACAGAACAAGAAGCAGAAGGTGACCAACCTAGGGCTTGCCTTGTGGTGGGATGTTTAATTCTAAGTTTCTTCAGTAGGAAACACACTGTAGACCATGACCGAGAGAAGAGCACTGAGCACACAAATAAATCCAAAATGCTTTAGCTTTCCTGGCCTAATCCGAGAAAGCAGTGGGTGGGGATGAAGATGATCTAGCCTTAGTCTAGAAGAGCCGTAGGAGATAAATACTCACCAAAGGCCACCTGGGCTAGGCGGATGCCCTGGCTTATACCAGATATACAGGTCTGTACCTGAGAGTGCCTGGCAAGAAGGTGAAGTGAAGGGGTGGATGCACACACACACACGCATGTACATGTGTGTGTACATATGTGGGCTTTTTTGTAAACATTTTATTCTGTTGGTAAACACCAGGGTTGGATATACACAGCTTCATTTAAGAACAAGCCAATAACAAAATAAAACCTAAGGAAAAGTGTTACATTGAAGGGAAAGAGAGAGCTGGCCCAAAGATTGAGGTGAAGACTTTGTTTCTGACAATGGTTTCTTTTTTTTTTTTCTTTTTTCTTTTTTTTTTTTTTACAGGCAGAGTTAGAGAGAGAGAGAGACAGAGAGAAAGGTCTTCCTTTCCATTGGTTCACTCCCCAAATGGCTGCTACGGCCGTCGCGCTGTGCCAATCCGAAGCCAGGAGCCAGGTGCTTCTCCTGGTCTCCCATGCGGGTGCAGGGCCCAAGCACTTGGGCCATCCTCCACTGCCTTCCCGGGCCACAGCGGAGAGCTGGGCAGGAAGAGGGGCAACCGAGACAGAATCCGGCGCCCCGATCGGGACTAGAACCCGGTGTGCCGGTGCCGCAGGCGGAGGATTAGCTTAGTGAGCCACGGCGCCGGCCGACAATGATTTCTTATATAAAACAGAGAACATTTTACCTGGTGGACGCGTGGGGGACCTACAAAAAGCACAAGAGGACAGCAGGACTCATGAGAGAAGGAACCACAGACATAAAGGCAGATCAGTTTAAAGGCAGAAAAATCAGCAAGCTAGCTGAAACAGGAAAACAGTGCCAAGGAATCCAAAACGCTGGAGCAGAATGAATGAATGCTTTAGGAGAAAGGCAGCTTTGGGAGCAGAAAATAAACCAGTGGTGTGGAGGAGGACAAGTCTCCAATGCATATGGAGAGAAAGGACAGAGATGAGAATTACCCCAGGGGAAAGAGGATTAATGCAGCTGAGAAACCAAAGTGACCTAACCGAAAAATAGTAGTGATGTTGAGAAAGGAATCTGAAGCAATAACTGAAGAAAATCATCCTGCGTAGACAGAGGTTAAAAAAAAAAACTCTCTGAATTCCAGGGAAAGTTGCTCACAAGACAGAAACAAACCTAAGAAACAATGCTAGTAAAAAAATACCCTTTGCTGGCCGGCGCCGCGGCTCACTAGGCTAATCCTCCGCCTAGCGGCACCAGCACACCAGGTTCTAGTCCCGGTTGGGGTGCCGGATTCTGTCCCGGTTGCCCCTCTTCCAGGCCAGCTCTCTGCTGTGGCCAGGGAGTGCAGTGGAGGATGGCCCAGGTCCTTGGGCCCTGCACCCCCATGGGAGACCAGGAGTAGCACCTGGCTCCTGCCTTCGGATCAGCACGGTGCGCCGGCCGTGGTGGCCATTGGAGGGTGAACCAACGGCAAAGGAAGACCTTTCTCTCTGTCTCTGTCTCTCTCTCACTGTCCACTCTGTCAAAAATAAAAAAATTAAAAAAAAAATACCCTTTGCTGGGGCCAGCATGGTAGCATAGCAGGAAAAGCAGTTGCCTGCGACACTGGCATCCATATGGGCACCAGTTCATATCCCGGCTGCTCCACTTTTGTCCCAGCCCCCTGCTAAATGGCCTGGGAAATGCAGTGGAAGATGGTGCAGGTGCTTGGGCTCCTGCCACCCATGTGGGAGACCCAGAAGAAGCTCCTGATTTTGGCCTGGCTCATTGTGGCCATATGAGGAGTGAAGCAGCAGCTGAAAGACTTCTCTCTCTCTCTCCCTCTGACTTTTCAAATAAAGATCCTTTGAGCATTCCTTCAGGAAAAACACAAACACTCACACCAATCAGACTTCTCCTTGTGTAGAAGACAATGAACCAATGTTATCATTAAACTTTAAGAAGAAAAGGTGATGACCATAATTTAATAGCAATTGAGTTGTTATTCATGTTTGAAAGCAATAGGGTTGTAGGAGCTCAGAAAACAGGCCACCCTGGGTGCTTAAAAAAAAAAAGACCTCAGAAAGTGTTGACCAGATGACTAAGAGATGAGTCAAAATTACAAAGCTCAAGAATGGAGAAACTGTAGAACCTGGGAGAAATCCCAATAGACTTAGCAGCATCACATACGTCACATGGCTACAGAAATCCATGGCTCATTATAATGCACTGGGAAGGACTGCTGGGCACACCAGTAGGCATTCAACACTTTGGAGAACTGTGCTCCCTTTCAATACGTCGGAGAAAGTTTATAAAAGAATTTTAATATAAAGATATTATTTATGAGAATAACTCTTTAGTAGGATTTAAAACAAAATGTCCCAGCGAGAACCTTTCTCTCAGGATAAAATCTAACTAGATCACAATTTGGTACAAATTAAACACCTGCTTTGAATAAAATGAAGGGAATTATATCAAAATGGCAGAACCACAGTTATTTCATCCCATCTTCATTTGTATGAATTCTCCCTTTTCTATAAGTCGACTTATGTGAGGGGTC